ATCCCATCCTCTCCTTGTCCCTCCTCCCCAAGACAAGGAGCTGAGGATGCAGACCAGGGAGGACAAATCCCCATGGCAGAACCTCATGGAAGAGGCTGTTTTGGGAAGCTCCCCAGTGCAAGAATCCAATGGGAAAGAAGATCCCCAGAGATCTTGCTCAAGGAGGGGTTTCAAATCCAGCTCAGGGTGCTACAAGGAGGAAAGACCCACTCTGTGCCAGGATGGCAGCCGGAGATCCAGCTGGAGCTCGGACCTGGTGGTGTATGAGCAGCTTCATAACAGAGAGAAGCCCTACATATGCTTAGAATGTGCAAAGAGCTTCAGCTGGAGCTCCAGCCTGATCCACCATCGGAAAATCCATCCTGGGGAACAGCCCTGTGAGTGTGGGGCACATAGGAAGAGTTTCATCCAGAGCTCCAATCTGATCTGTCTCCAGATGATCCACCCATTGGCACATCCACACTGGGAGATGACCTACAATTGTCTGGAGAGTGGAAAGAGCTTCTCCTGGCCATCATCCTTGACCAACACCAACAAACCCACCAATAAGGGAAGCCCTGTAACTGCCCCCACTGCACAATGAGCTTTGTCCTCTGCTCCAGCTTCATCCCCCATCTGAGGACCCATGTTGGGCAGAGACCTGGTGACCCACATTCTCCAAGATCCACACTGGGAAGACACGTGTCCCTTTGCTTGCACCCGGCAATGATGCGAGGTGGGACCAAAGAACATGAGCGTCTGGCCATGTCCCCATCATTATCTTTGATCCCACCTCAGGTCATTGCCAGAGACTAAGAAAGGAACTCTCTCTCTTCCCAAAGGAGAAGGGTGACCTTTCCAGGTGGGACATGGTCTGGAAGAGCTGGGTCAGTGTTGTCACAGTTTCCCCTGTAAGTCGTTTCTTTGTCTTATTTCTTCTGTTCTCAATATTGTTGCAGTTCCCAGTAACAACTTCTTATCCCAGCTCAGGATCTTTGCCTTTTGTGCTTTCACAAAACAAAACAGGGCCACTGTTTATGTAGCTGGAGCCCTGATCAGTCACCAGGAGGCATTTCTGCTCATCCATTCTGTAGTACTGTGGACTCACTTGAAATTTTGGTATTACTGCAGCTGAATGAGCATTTGCCACTGTTTATGCCTGTGCCGATTCCTATCCTTTCCTTTTCATAATTCACCAAACAACAACAGAAGTAACAATGGCAGCTGAAAATAATTTAAGAAGGGGGAAAAAAAATCCTCTAGAAATAATTTTGTCAAACCAGAAACAGAATGAGCCTTAGTCAAGGATGTGCTGCCTAATCAGGCAGCACAAGCTCCACAAACAGACATGAATATAAAACATATTTGACACCATAAATGTGTGTGGTGTCATAAACCGCTTTTCCAAAGTGATTTCAACTTCATTGGAGGATTGAAACACATTCATGCTTCAGCAGCGGATGCATGGGCTGGGTGCACTAGGCAGCTGAGCTGCTTTGGGCAGCCAGAAATAAGACAAACTTTCTCAGCAGTATTTGGCTTGCTTTCTCTTTAATTTCTTCCCATGCGAGAGGAGACTGACTTCAGACTTATGGCTTCAAGAATATTTGAATTTTAACCACCTTGTAATTCACCTTATCTGGCTTTTTGTACAACCTGGTCTTATAAAACAGATGGATTTTTATTTATTTACTGTGGGACATAAGAACAGCTCAATAGCTGCCCCAGTGTTTCATTTTTTCAAACAAAATCATATATAATACAAGTTCCATCACAGAAAGCCCATCAGAGTCAAAACAAGTTGCTGCATTGTTCAGTGAAAATGAGCTAATTTTCAGAACTAAACCACAAAGTTGGGAATGTGAGTAAAGGTGTTAAATTGCTATAAAATGAATTGGCAAATTCCGTAAGTTCACGATTAAGCATTATAGATGGATCAAAAGAAGATCACAAGAAGAATTTCTTCATTAATCATCATCATATGATCGAAAGATGTTCAAGTCCTGGGTTTCCAATGTATTTTTTTAAAAGAAGTTACATTTAGCATCATGCTTTGGGGGAAAATAAAAATTGTCATGTTTCCAATTTAGGTAAAATATAGTTTTGAAACTAAACATTTCAGTGCTATTTATTTGGTTTTTAAACTAGTTCTGTAACTCGGAGATCCTGCTATTTCACAGCTCTTAGGTCACAATATTTTACTCTAATGGAAGTAAGTTTGACTTGAGACTGTAAGACCATTAGCTATTAAAGTTTGTTGGTTTGGGTTTTTGTTGAACACATTTCTAGAAAAGCCACTTTTCTTTGCAACATCTTGCTGTTATTCTGACACTTCTACCAGGCCCCCTCCTGCAGATGCACAAACATATGCACAGATAGATGTAAGGCAATCCAAAATTCAAACCCCAGTTAAGGAATTACAGATTTGGGTCAGGATGTGGAAGCACTACAACATAGCCCTGTAGACATAAACATGAACTATGTGTTGTAAGCTCCATGTCAACAGACATGTGACTCTTAGGCAAGAATGATCTTTATATTGAATTTTCTAGAATTTATGGAGCAATGAATTTAACGTGGGAAGTAGCTAAGCAGGACGTTCTGATAGGCTTAAGGTAAGGAGCCTCAATCCACAACTGCAGAAAGAAATTCACTTCTAAATATAACTGAAAGTAAGATTAAAACACAAAGGAGGTTACATGTTGAGAATTCAAAGTGATAATACAATTTTCTTTTTCATGAAAGATGAAAGAAAAGGAAATAGAAAATTAGGGAGATGCCAAGAAAAAAACATGAGAGGCACAGGAAAGGGGCTACTACCACCATGGCTCCAGCCCTGGTTTCTGTCAGGTGTGGCCCCAGGCAGCCAGACCAGCAAGGTGGGGCAGGAGAAGTCTCGTAGGAGCAGCCGGGACAGCAAAGGACAGCAATGACAGCAAAGACCCCTGACACTTTGTAGACACCGTGCCATGTTGGGCACTTTTTTATTTAGGGATATCTTGCTTTAAGGAGAGATGGTAGCAATGGCACATGCACCACGAGCACCCTCAGGACACTGGCACATCCAACATGTCCCTCATGAACACCCTCATGATCTCTGCTCCCTTGAGGAGTCCCTGAGGTCCATCGTGTGTCCAGCTCTGCAGGACAACTGAACAAACTACCCAGAGCTGGGGGAAAATGCTGCAAACAGCACCAGCACCAGCTCCGTTGGAACAGGAGGAACACGTGTAGCTGATCCTGAGTCAGTGCAAAATGCTGATGGGTGGTTTGGCAGCAGAACCTTGACTCAGCACCGTGCAGAAGATGTTCTCTTGTCTGGTTTTGTTTTGTTGGCTGTTTGCTCCCACTGTTGACACTGAGCTGCTGTGGCTGAGGCTGAGACATCCCTCCTACCTTGTCAGCAGCAGGCCCTGTCCAGAACTGGCTACAAAATATGAGAAAAGCAGCTGGGAAGAACAATGCATGGAATCCTACAGCTCAGGAGCTCTTATGTCAGAGCCCTGCCTGTGCCTTCTGCTTGTCAGCACCTCCTTCTCTATGCACACAATAGTGACTGGTGAAGGTTTTTTTGCCTAAGAGCTCTTGAGAACCAAATGTTCTGCTGGGATTCTCATGATCTGTTAAGTTCATTGCAGGGAAACAGAAAAGCAAGGGCAGGGTAGCAGATCAGCTGGAAGCTGGTCATTCCCTGCAAAGGGCTTGTGTGTGATGTGGGAACATCACATTCACAGATGGGCAAGAAGGGTAGATGTGCTCAGGTTGCAGCAGGTGAGGTTTAGGTTCATCTTGAGGGCAGTCAGGGGTGGTGAGCACTGGAAGATCCAGCTCCAGTCTCCATCCATGTCCCTTTCAGTGATGTCTGCAGCCTGGATCCAGGCTCCTGGAGAGCTCCTGTGGCTGGCTTTGCACTCAGGGTGAGGATAAGAGGCCATCTTAAGACCCTAACTCATTTCCCTGCCAATTGCCACGAGAAGGAACTCCCTTTCCCCCTCCACAGCAGTTCCAGCTTGGAGAAGGCAACAGTGCAGGTGCAGCCACTGTACTGTCACACCAGTTCTGAAGGAGCCTGGCAAAAACTTGGCAAGGAGTTGGCAAGGACTTGGCAAAAACCCGGCATGGACCCAGCACAGGGTGGCCTGCTGCAATGCCTACTTCACTCTCCATCCTTAAGCCGAATGAACTGTTGGGGTGAGTCTGGTGGTCTCTCACTGCAGACCCCTCACCTGCCTCATTACCACTGTGACAGACGGAGATCAAGAACCGTCTCCCTAAGGACTGAGAGTGAGACCCCTCCACAGGGAGTGGAGGGGTGGGGGGAATGGTGGTGTGACCACTATTGACATGACCTGTTCTTCTCCAGTAACTTCAATGGACATATTCTTTATTGTGTTCATCCTGCTTGGTGGTTTCAGTGGACTCACCTGTTCCCCCACAGCAGTTTCAATAGACTCTTATTGTTCTGTATGTTCCCCCCTTTTTCCTCTGTGGACTATAACTGGACGCCTGGGTTGGGTAGGACTTTGGAGACTTTCCCCAACACAACAAGACGGCTCCCCATTGTCCAGACCAGTGAGGATCTTGCCTGTGTTGGTAGCTATTCCCATCCCCCTCTTTTCTGTCTCTTTTCTTCTATTTCCTCTCTGATCCCACTATCACATTTATTGTTTTGGCCCCTAATAAAGGTGCATTTGTTGTGATTAAACTGATGGTCCCCTGCTGTTTGCCTTTTTTGCACTTTTGGGATTGGCCAACGAACCATCACAACACCCCGCTATAAGCGGATCGTGACACCAGGAGCCGCTGAGGCTGGCAGTGGGCACCAAGACTTGTTGGCCGGGAGGTGGCTCTGGGGGCTGTGACATGCCAGGGCATGTGTCACAGTGGGAGCTGTGAGCAGGGGCACTTGGCAGCTGAATGACATTGTTCTGCTGGCTGTGACATCACAGAGGATAGGTGATACTGGCACCTGTGTCCAGGGGCAGCACAGGGCAGTTGGATTCTAGCAGCCAGTGAGTGCACAATGCAGGGGGAATGCTGGGCTGGATGGGAGCTGGGAAAGGTGCCCTGGGGGTTTAAAGCCAGAGTGAGAGCTGGGACTCTTATGGCAGGGCACTGTCCTCTGGGCTGGGGGAAGAGGTGCTTGGAGCTCTCAGCGTGGCAGGTGCCCAAAGAGGCTTTGGGGACATTGCAGGTGTCGCCAGCCCATTGCTCCCTCCCAGCCAGACATGCTGAGCCCTCTTTCTTCCACCAGGCCATGTATTTAACTGTGGCCTTCATCCTGGCCCTGTTAGCCACCTGTGCTGAGATGAAGGTGAATCTAAAAATTGAAAAGGATGAAGTTAAACAGCTGCTGGAGCATGAGGAATATTTACACCAAGAGATGATTCAGCTCCTGCAGGAGATTGAGGGGAGCACTGGCACCATGGAAGCCCTGCTCTGCTCTGCGCTGGAAAAGCAGTGGCTTCTTTGGGTCAGTGCAGCAGTCCTGGTTCAGGTTCTTGCTATGGGCTGCTGGCTGGTCAGAACAAGAAAGCGTGGCTCTGCCATCAGGAGGAGGCAGGAGGGATCCAGCAGGAAGGAGAAGGTCAGTGAGCATGAGAAGGTCAAGGGTACAGGCAGGGGTGGCAGCATTTTGGCTGTGCCCAGCCCATCACCAATGGGCACATCCAGGATAAGGCTGGAGTGGGCTGTCAGCAGCCGGATCTAGGTGAGAATGTCCCTGCTCATTGCTGTGGGGTGACACTGGACAGTCTGTAAAGGTCACTCCCAAGCTCAGCTGTTCTGTGATTCTGCAGCAGGGCCTGCCCAGCACAAAGGTGCTGCAGGAGCTGGTGGAAGAGCTCCTCGGCGTCTGCCAAGTGCTGTCCCGGAGGAGCTTCATGCCGGAGCTGCATCCAGCCGCCGGGATGGACACCAGCCCCACCTGCAGCGTCCAGGAGAGCAGCATCACCTACCGCACGCCGGTCATCCTGCAGCCACCGCCCGGCCACTCCTTCAGCACGGAGAGCAGGAAATGGCCGCCAGGCGAGTGCATCCGCGTGGGGCTGGAGTGCCTGTGCTCCGGGGAGCAGCTGCTGGGGCACACGTGCTTTCTCCACGCCTCTGGTGGCCAGCTGCCCAGAGACCAGGAGTGGTACCTGATGGACACCCTCTGCACGGGCTCCTACTTGGACCCAGAGAAAGTCACCCACTGGGTGCAAATGTTGGTGGCGTCGGCCTGGCTGCTCCTGCCGCACTCGCGCCATTTCCAGCTGACGGCGCTGCCCTGCGGCAAGTCCTGCAGGTTCCGGCTGAGCGGCGCCTCTGGCCTGCACTGCAGCATCGAGATGGTTCTGGCCGTGCAGCAAGGCAGCTCCTGTGCCTGCCTGAGCCTTGAGCAGGCAGCAGCCGGCTCTGCCAGCAGCACCGTGCAGGCCACAGAGCTGCCACCTCTCTGACTCACTGCCACGATGGCTGTGCTACTGAGGTGACAGCACTGCAACCAAAAAGGAATTGAGGAAGTTGAAGTCAATCATTCCTCATGGGACATTTTTTGTGTTCTGCTGGGATTCTTTAGTTCCTTTATGTTATAAATGAAAATTTATTCAGCTGAATTAAAAAACAAAACAGTTTTATTTGCGGTCAAATTCTATCTAGCCAGCCACAGGAAAGAAAAAAAAACAGTGCCAAGCCCGGGGTCAGCCCTGGGTGTGCAACAAGGAGTCAGCCTCAGGAGAGGTTTTCCTCTATGCCCACACACCTCCATCCTGGCACAAGCAAGTTTTATAGGGAAAATTCCGCATGAGGCCAAGATTTTTGCAATTAGTCCTTTCTTCTATTCAGAGTCCATATGTTAATAATTCAGTGTCTGGAGTTGTTGAATCCTGTGATGAAATTTACGGGAACGCTGTATTCACATGTATCTGTCCGGGGATCTCCAAGATATCCATCTCGGGTCATTCACGTGATGATCAGCGCCTGGGGTCTCCCGAAGCTTCCCAGACATGGCCCATCTCCTGGCGAGCTGTATCTTCTTTCTTGTAAATTAGTTTCCAACATACACCCGGTTTCGGAGGGGAGAAGGGGGTGGGGGGAGGAGGCTAGTACAAACGAGGTATAATCTAACAAGTATTTAACATTATATATTCCATACAAGGAATGGCGCAAATTATGTTTATTACCCATAACACATATATCATATTAGAAATGGTGCGAATTATATCTACTACACATAACAAGCATTATCATCTTCAGCATGCATTATCTCATTTACTATTTAAATAGTTTTTCAACAGTCCCTCCTCTCAACTTCTCCATATAGAGATAAAGCTTTTTATTTGAAAGACAAATTACATTTTAACCATATTTGCATCATATAATGTTATACATATTTTCGAGCCATATGCATTTTCATCCCTATCAGGCTCCTTCCATCAGCATGGCTTTAGATCAGGGATTAAATGCCTGTGTTGACCAGGGGAAAGTCCTAAAAATTAAGTTCTTCAAACATCAGATTGAAGAGGCTGTTCCAGTTCATCATTATACAAATTATTATTTTAGAGGTCCAGTTCAGAGTTCTGTGTCACACACAGAGATAAATGCTCATTATGGTACCAGAAATAACACATTAAGTCCTCATTCCATTAGTGTGGACTTTTAGAAGTCTTAAATGTAATTTCCTTATATTACATAATGATAATAGGCTGAGAAAGGTGAGCTTGATAAGTGATGATTCAAGTCTGCAAGGAAGAAAAAAAAAGCCCTTACAGTTCTCTTTTGACACAGTGATACAAAATCTGGTGGAATTTTTATGGAAAATGCTGCAGCGCTTACTTCTAAAATTATTTTTAAAAATTTATCACCTTTTCTGGAAAAATATATACATTCTTCACAAAGAATGCCAGAGCAATAGGCTGACAGAAACCTCATGAGGTTCAACCAGAAGTGCACAGTCCTTCGAGAGTGAAAAGCCTCCAGTGTTATGAACAAAACAGCCTGGCTGGGACACTTGGCTCAAACTAAGTACTGACATTGAAATGTTAATTAGCTAATTGCTCCTGGGAATCACCTACACCCCCCCCCCCCACCACCACCACTACCATTCTAGGACTGGGATGCAAAATAGGGAGACCAGTGGAATCATGGGAGGGGGTTTTGGGGATAAAAACACCCCTAAATGGAAGGCTGGGCACAGTGGAGGGGGCTGGATGGATGTGCTGGTTGAAGAAAAGGGAACCTCATCCCTAGTCTGTGTCCGACCTGTCACCATAACCTGCAGAGGACCAGACTGGACTGGGCTGTGGGAAGCAGGAACAAAGAAACACACACTTCCTGGCATTACCAGGAGGGAAGGAGAGGGATAGCTGCTGCTGGATTTTGGCAGCAGGCTCTGCACATCCCCTCACCCTTTGGCTACCAGTGTGCCAGGAGGAAAGGAGAGAGGACGATCTGCTGGGACTTCAGATACAGACTGCACACCTCTTCACCTCCAGCTACCAGTGTGCCACGGAGACTGCAGGGACAGACTCTGCACGCCTTCTCACCCTTCGGCTACCGGAGAAGCTACAACAGCGGGGGCGAGCTCCTTGTCAAGCCCCCTGCCGAGCTGACTTTTTAATAAAGAGCTGAACATTAATAAAGGCATAGACCCTGTTCATTTCACTAGCACCAGCACATTCTGGAAGCTGCCCACCTGGGAAGCAGCACTTCACTGAAAGCACCTGGGGGTCCCTCAGACACCAAACTGACCATGGGCCAGTAGTCTGCCCTTGTGGCAAAAAAACCCACCAAGAGCATCCTGGGCTGAATCCTTCACATCCTGTGAAGAGCAGTGCTGCTGGCAGGGGACAGAAATGATCCTGTCCCTTAACTGAGCTCTGGTGATGGTGATGACCCAGGTGTTGATCCAATTCTGGGCTCCCCAGACACAAGAGATGTGGACATGCTGAAGAGAGTTGAGCAAGGGCTGCAGAGATCATGAAGGGATCAGAGCACTGCTCCTTTGAAGAGAGTCTGAGAGATCCAGGGCTGTTCAGCCTGGAGCTTCAAGAAGGCTCAGGGGGATCGTGTTAAGGTGAAGGGAGTGCACTCCTGAAGGAGTGCACACAGAGAAGAGAGCCAGACTTCTTCTAGACAAGCCCAGTAACAGGGCCAGAGATGATGGGCACACACTAAAACACAGACAATTCCCTACAAACAGCTGGAAACCCCTTTATCACTGTGAGGGTGACTCAGCATTGACACAGGGTACCCAGGGAGGCTCTGGAGTCAATATTCAGAAGTCATCTAGACATGGTCCTGGGCACCTAGCTCTTAGTGGCCCTGACTGAACAGGGGGTTGGACCAGATGGCTTACAGAGGTCTCGTCCAAGTTCAACCAACCTGTGATTCTTCACCACTGAGCAGCCAACTGTCAGCCTGTGAGCTCAAAATAAAAATTTCTGTACTCAAGAAAAGTTTATTTTATTACTTCCTGCAGTGCTACAAAATAAATTTTCCACTGGAATGTTCCTAGACCATGCAGCAGTACCACAACAGCCCCTAAAATACATTACATTACCTACCTCTTTGCCATTTGTTGCTCTTTTATTGCCTTTTCACACTAGAGTGGCTGCTGTGAGCTTACTGTTTCTGTGCCAGCCCTCCACAACCACATGCAACTTTTTATTATACATTGCGCTTATCCTTTCTCATGACTCAGTGCAATAATACACACAGAATTCCATTGTTACTTTAGGTGAAGACCATCAGGGAAGGGGGCAGAGGGCAGACTCAGGTCCGCTCATGGGATTCATTGCTTTTAACTAAGTATTCCCGTACAAACATGCAGTTCCTGAACACTTGAGGGCTTCAAATACCATCTTCATCACTGCTTTATCCATTAGCAACAAGTCTACAAGCAAAGCTATTTGGTGCAGGGAAAGGTTGAGTCATTTTTTTTTATACAGGACAGGGTCTGGGCAGCATGCAAACTACTGCATGTGTTTATGGTGTTTTGGTTTTAGGACTAGGATTCAAACATCATTCTATCTCCAAAATGCAAAGATAGTACCCTAGACAGCATGAGTGTGTTTCGGCCACAGTGTTTTCTTGACACAGCCACAGAGACGGAATCCGTCCATGGATCCCTGTAGTCCCAGGAGGGTTCCGTCCCCGAAGCACCGGGATAAGGATAATGTCACCACGCTGCCTGCTGTCCCTGGCCAGGCTCCGGGACCCGCTCCCATGCTGATCATCTTAAGTCCTTCCTGCCTTCCTAGTCAATAATTTTCCTGCAGCTACAGCCAAACTCAGGATGTTAAACCAAAATATGTGAAGTGCTAGTGCTTTTTATCATGAAAACCGTTGCATTTGTAATCTTTTTTTTTCTTCAGGATACATTAAAATATCGTTTAGTGTCTTCCCTGTGACATGGAAGCCTGGAGTGACTGATACCCAAAGTAAGCACTGAGGAGTTACTCCAAAACCACTATCTCATAACATGGCTAAGCCCACTACTAAAAGAGTGGGAAAATGAGGTTAAGTTCTAATAGTACACAGCTACCTGTTTTCTTTTTTGTTTGCTTTTCTTTTTTTTTTTTTTTTTTCTCCCACTTAGAAATGGCATTGTATTGCTGCAATTTAACACAAAAGGAATGCAGGAAATACTACACATTAGAAATCCATCTGCTATTTCTCTTTGTCCTGGACTTGAGAAACTTCTAACCTCTCCTTTCTGCAATGAGTGTTAAGTGTTCTTTCTATGAGTCAGATAATTAAATCTGAAATGGGGCTTTGTCAGCCCCTCATGAGAAATGAAGTCAAAACAACTGTGACATAATCTCAATTAAATGAAACAAAATTAAATGGCTCCTCCACTACACTTTACCACCACTCACATATTCCTACCACATTTTCCTAACACTTGGGAACAGGAAGAGGTTTCATAAGAAGTTTAGCCATGGATAACCAGTGTATTAATTGAATAAAATAACAGTAAGTATGTCAATTCAGTAAGTCTAAGTAAGAATAAAATAATTACAGAATTAGTTGGTTTAAATGCTTGTCTTCTATAAAGAATGACAGTGTTGCTAAGGAGTGGCTTTAGGTACTGTTCAGTATTTTAAGCAGACATTTACAGCATTGATTTTTAATGTGTGGAAAGCTTGTCACATTCAGTAGCAGTGGCTATGTTTTATATTCATTACACAGTTCAGCGCTACACAGAATCTGTCACTTTGGAAGGCTTTTGCACGGACTGCAAGTTCACTTATATCCTTCATATTTACTATATTACTAATCTATGTGACAGCTTTAATACTCAGATAAACATAAGCAAACCCAAGCACAGTAATTTGCATGACTTCAAAATAAAAGACAGGTTAGGACATAGTCTCACAAGTAGATTAATTTACTTTGCATCCATGTGAGTATTAATGGAACTGGGTTTGTGAAGACAAGTAGGGGGAAGTCCTACACACACCTGATGTAAAAGTCTAGTCTCTTCCTGATTGTGTTCTAAGAATGCTCTTGAATCTTAGTTTTTCACAGAAAATACTTCAAAAATTGTAGAAGTCTGACAATTTCGAATTATTGTACTTCTGATACATGAATGTATCTAAAAATAAGAACATCATTACATAACACACCTTTGAAGTCAACTGAATAAATATGACAGCTAGTTTATATAAAGTTTTCCAGCAAAAAATGTAAAATGCATAAGCTATAATGAATCAAAATATGTTTTACTTTAGACTTAGGCTGCTGAACTGGTTTCGTTTCATTAATGAAAAGGTATCTAATAGAATGGTACCACCTTTCACCTGATACCTTAATTCACTCACTTTAGGAGATCCACCAAATAACTTAGAAGAAAAAGGCCCAGATATAGTCTTGAGGTGTTGTTGTTATGGAAACTGTTGCCCAGCTGACTACAGTTCCTTGGAGAAAGATTTCTGTATGAATGCTTTTGTTTAGCATAACTGAATTCTATTTCTCTCCAGTAGAAGCAGAGATGTATAGCCAGCATGGAATGATACAGACCTATTTCTTATTTTGTCTTAGTAACATTCCTATGAGCCATCACATCTGACCCAGAAAAATACATAGCCATGACTACATGCCTACTACATTTGAAAAACCTTGTTTTTTGTACACACACACAAAAAAAGATTATTCAAAGAGTGAATGTATATTTAGTCTGTTATACAAAGAGGAAAAGCTACCTACTTTAATTGAAGTGAATTTGTATTTAACCTTTTCAATGGAAAATGCACATTTAAATGTTATGTTTGCTGAATAAACTAAACCTAAATGACATGAAAATGCAGGTGTTGTTAGTTGAATCTATAAACAGACCTCACAGATGTGTGCACTTCAATTTCTGAGCTATATTAAATGAGGTGGCAGAGTTCGTTGTTCTGTATTTCCTTGTATCAAATACATTGAAAAGAATCTCATTTATATCCTAGTCTTTTGAGATCAGCCTCTTAGTGCCAAGGCATGGCAAGGAGAAAGGTTAAAAAGAGTACAAGTCACATATTTGGAAAGCCTGAGTGAGACATTCCCCAGTTTCAGGATAAAGGCTAAAAAACATTATTATTTTTAATACTATTTTCCAACACTCTCTGCTACCACCTTTCATTCATACAATGTTTGCAATTTGTATCTCATTACACTTGAGAGATGGCAAGAAAGATCTATGCCTCCCCTTCAAGATAAAAAACCCCTTCCTTCTGACACACAGTATTTTGCATTAAAGAATAGAAAAGGTCAAATTTGTTTCCTGATCACTAGACTAATACTAAACTAAATAGCAACAAAATTAGCTGAGATGTATGCACATTTCCTGAACTATGATAACTCTTCTTTACCTACATTAACAGGCACATAGTTGAGTTCCTTCCTAGAAGCCCTTTAAGCCTCCGGATCAACAACTGCCCTGTCCTATTAACCACATCCAAGATATTTTATCTTAATAAGATATATTCAGAATGTCAGTCATCAACAACTCCACAAAAAATATCACTGAAAGATGAAAACTGTATGAGCAGCCGCAGATACTGAAACCACAGTATTCCTGGGATTCCCTGTATTTCCTTCCTGGATTTTAAAATAAAGATGAGATTTCAACCACTGGCTCCACATGTATTTTGCCATCATCTCAACCAAAAATGTGATTGGATCATTTACAGAATGGAGGAGCAAACAGATGCCTGATCCTCTTTAGCAATCCATGTTAATATGTGCATAATACCTGTAGTATGTTTACTACAGATACCAGGACTGAGTGATGCAGGATCTGAAGGCTCCAGAGTTGCAATTCTCAGTAGTCTTCTGCTGTTTATAAGTGTTTTTTCATTATCTAGCTTGACAAAACTAATTGAGGCTTGCATGCACTATCCTTAAACAAAATTGTTCTGTTCTATCAAGTCAATATATTTTTAAGAGGGAAGGAGGGAGTGAGGGCTTAAAAAAAATTCTGTTACTCCTTTATATTGCAATACTGATGTGAAGAAGAATTAGTTAGAATATACAAATAAACATCAAAAACAAATTAAGTGATCACAAAATTTCATTATTTACCTTTCTAATTGTAAATAAAAAGCAATCCTATTATATATAAAATCAATTATCTTACATATAAAGAAAAACTCTTGAGACTGAACCCAGGAGCCAGCTTAAAAGTAGAAAGAAATTACTGCGTGAGATGGCGGAAAAGTGCACGCAACTCCTCTGGAAATAAACTCAGTTCACCTGTAGAACAAGGATCCCAGACTTAGCTTGGTTTCCTGGTGACTCAGCACCCACAAGTCCTCTGCTGGTGGACAGCACAGTCCAGTCTTTCAAGGAGCTTTACCCCGGGCTCCTCACACTTCGGAAGCTGAGGGTGGCATTTCAAAATCAATGCAATTGATGCAAGGCCCAGCACTGTCTTCAAATTCTGTTGCTGAAACACTGCAGTAGTTACCCAGAAGGATTGCCTCCATTTGAAAGCATCTCATTTTCCCCATTTCCAAGTCTGCTCACATCAACCAGCCAATTGTAGGGCTTTAGAGAAGGAAGAATGACAGGGTAGCACGGAAAGCCGAGCGTAGGCCCTCAGGCCCCCTTGAGCGGGGCGCTTTGGTGCCCCAGAGGTTTAAGAGAGGGAAGCGTAAGGAAGACGCGCCCTTTCGATCCTCCTTTACTCCTCAGTACCAAGTGACCGTCAGGAACGGGGGACAGCCAGGCCAGGTCCCTCATCCTGGCCCGGCATGAGGGGCAGCTGGCACGGAGGGACACAAAGGCATGGGGGACAACATCTCCGCAAGGCAGGTGGGGGGTGTGGGGCAGCTGTCAGAGAAGGTGTGTGGGGCAGGCCAGGGCCTCTCTGTGAAGGGGGAGAGCCTTGGGCCGCTCGGAAGCAGCGCAAAGCCATGAACGGGAGAGCCCGTCCGCAGCGCACAGCTTGGAAGGCACTGACCAGCTTAGGCACAGCGTGACACGCAAGGGAACATTCCAGAGCTCTGGAGGCTTTAGAGGTTTTATTGCCAGTCGTGCTGAAAGCAAGAGCCGGAACAGAGCATCTCCTGGTTACTTCACCATCTTCATCTTCCTCATTCTGTCCTCCGGGTGGCCAGTTCAGGCAGACAACTCGTGGGACATGCCTGCTCCAGATCTGCTGAATCCCACATTCTTCTTTGATAGCTCAATTCTTCTGATGACAATTCATTCATTTCTCCTTACAGGAGAATTCTGAGCTTCCCTACATCAACACTACTCTACTCTTATCTAAACAATGCTTCATGAATGAAGCTTTCTATGCTCTCTAGTCCTAACTAAAGACAGCTAAGCTAAGAAAACCTCAAAACATTACATTTCCTATCTACAGCACTGCCGATGTGCTCTTCTCCCCTCTGCCTTTCCCTTGCCCCGGCTAGCTCTGGGGAGAAAGGGCACGGGCAGACTTCCAGCACTTCCCGCTGAACCCTCACCGGGCTTTGGGCAGCGCTGTCGGAGTTCGGAGAGCAGTCAGCGACCCCACGGCGATTTAATGAAGAGAGTCTTTCTCCGTGGGGTGAATTCCGTTTATTGCAATCCAACGGGGAAAACAATAATTCGAAGGGAACCAGACGTGCCGCGCCTGCGTTTGCCAGAGCAGCGCGAGCAGGTGGAGCGCGCTGGAGCCAGCGAGGAGAAAGCACGGAGCACGCCGCGTGAACGACCTAAATACGGAACGGGGGGAAAACCCCACAGGGGGTTTGGGGTTAGTGGGATACGGGGGTGCAAGAACAGAGCCTAAGGCGCGCGGGGACTCCAGCAGGCAGTTCACTTCAGATTAATGCTCTTTCTTCTCCTCTGTGTCGTGAGAGCAGCGCCAAAAGAAAGCCGGGGGCAAGAAATCTCTGCTCTCCTTAACCACCAGTTGACAAGAAGCATCCTGGGCAGGCCAGGGGAAGCACAAGCGGGATGCCTCACCTCCCGACAGACGGCGCCTATCTCTCCTTCCTCCAGGTACACTGCCCTGAGCACATCAAACAACGTGCCGCCATCCATGAACTCCATCGCCAGCCAGAGCTCCGCATCCACCAGGTAGCTGAAAGGAGGAAACCACGGCATGGAGAGAGACAGAGAGGAACGGGCACAGCTCAGGCACCCCAGGGCCTGACCCGGGCTTTTGCAACTGCTCTCCAAGCTACACATGCCAGAAGAGATTACTGAACACCAGCTGCAAACTCCTCCTGCGCACTGCAGATGAGTAGGGAAATGCTAAACGGCTCTGTTTTCTGCCGGCGACCAAAGGGCGTTGTCACTTCTGGCTTGCACTCTCTAAAGCTACACAGACATGAGAACACCCCAACCTGTCTAAGTAGCTGACAATATTGGGATTCCTGCTGTCCCTCATCACCAGGATTTCATTGACAGCCAGCTCCTCGGACGTCTTCTCCTGAAGAGACACTATCTTGATGGCCACCTGAAAAGACATTGGCGACCATTAACTTGAGAAGTCATTCCCTGCACGAGACCTCAAGGAACACGGAGCGAGTGCTCGTGCCGTGACACAGCGAGCTGTGCCAAACTGCCCTGTTGCTAGACAGCAGAGCTTAGGGAGAAACTGCTGCGGGTATTGACACTTCACCTGTTGTCCTGTGCTGGTGTCGAGGGCTTTATAAACAGCTCCAAAGCTGGAAAATGAGAAAGCATTCTCAAAAGTAGCCTAAGGTGGCATTTAGCAGTAAGCAGAAATATTGAATATATTCTAAACACAACACAAAATATGCTCATATACAAAAACAATCATCCTGCAGTTTCTTAAAATAGGAAGGAAAATTAAATAGTTAAATACATTACTTATCTGAATCACTCCTTGAAGATTTTAAGTAAAATCATGCTGAAACTTCATTTATAAAGGGAAGTAATTTCAACATGATTTTGCTGATATGGAAATTGTAAAAAAATCTCAGCATCATCCTAGCTAACACTGGACTTGCAGGGTGCATCTAGCATTAAAACCGTTTTTTTTTTTTTTCCTTTCAGAAAGATTTAAATAAAATAAAAATAAATTACTTTTTTAACAGGAGGAAAAGATAGGTGTCAGGCTTACAATAATTGGTAACGCATGATTTGCTGATTGAGTGCATATGACCAACAATTGCTGCTTAAAACCCATCTCACCCTTCAGGCTCTGTAGGTGTACTCAAACCATTCAATATTATACATATAAAAGTAGTGCTGGAACTTCTCCCAGTCATGCAGATCTTATGGAAATATAGAATTTGTTTCTAAGAAAAAATTTTACATCAGTTAACATGTTGGGAATTTTCACAATATTAAACATTATTTCTTTAAAAAAGTAGAATTTTTATTAATTTAAAATATTTTCCATTCAAGAGAATGAGGAATTCAGTGTGTGTTAAATTATTTCTTCTTGGCACCTCAACTGCATTTTTTTTCTAAATAAGAAAAGAATTTGAAGAAACACAGAAAAATTATATTAACCAATTATGTCCATTATACCCAAAGTGTAAAGCATATGGAGTGTTTCTCAGAAATGTTTTATCTAAAAATATTCAGCACATTTTAGAGTGAGGTGTGCTTCCATTCCTTATATCTTTCACGCATTGGAGGACCAGGTTTGTATTGTCTGTCAGTGGTGCTGTTTCCACAAGCCCACTGATGCTTATTGACCGCATAATGAACAAAGCCACACCATACTCCCTACACTGATAACTAACCTTTACCATAAAATATAATTTATTGCAGTAAAACCATTACATTAGAATATTACATTTTGATGCAATAACAATATACAATTAATTTTTCATGTGAACCTTGGAGCTTCCTTGGAGCAAAGCCAGAAGTACCTGACCACATCTGTAACACTGCTGTAACAGAGTTGCAGGACAAATGCCCAGAGGAGCCAACTCTCGCTGTCCTAGGGAGGCTACACCTCTACTCCTGAGCCCAGTTCTCAGCCCCTCAGTTCAGGAAGGACATTGTGGAGTTCTTCAAGACTTTCTCTTGGAGTGTATCCAGAGAAGGGCAATGGAGCTGGGGAAGGGTGTGGAGCATGATTTCTATGAGGAGCAGCTGAGGGAGGGTTGTTCTCTTTTTCCAGGCAACAGGATGAGAAGAAATGGCCTTAAAACTGCACCCCAGGGAGGGTCAGGTTGCATACCAGGAAGAATTTCTTCACTGGAGTCATGCTGAGACATTGGAATGGGCTGCCCAAATAGGTAATGGAGTCACTACTCCTGGAGGAGAAATTTCTTGAACCCTCCAGGACATGGCACTTATGCTATGGTTTATTTGACACGGTGGTGTTTGGTCAGAGGTTGGACTCAGTGATTCTGAACATCTTTTCTAACCACAATGATTCCATAACTCTGAGTCAATATTGTGTGTTTAACCAAATATCGTATTAAACAATGACTGAACAGCAGTCATACCACCTAGTATTTACTGCATGACAAATAATTGGCTTGCCTACAATACAGTTTTAGACCTTTTTGAATCATCCCCCATTGTAGACATCAAATGCTGGGTAAGGCAATCTGTCAATCTTGAAAGGTAATCCTTAGAAACATTCCTGCTTGAGAGATCTCAGTGTAGAAGAGTTCAGTGGGCTCTGGTGGCTGTAGACACTTGTAGTGAGAAGTGACAGCCTTGCAGTCAAACACCCCTTTGGTGTGTGTGCAGGTATAAAAGTGTGGCAATGCTTCTTTCCACCCAGTACCAGACCAGAGAAGGTACTGCAGTTCTGGCTCAGGCACTAGTCCCCAGTAAGATGTGACTTCCCACAAGCTGGCTGGGTTTGCACATCAGGGCTGATTTCAGCTTGGCCTGTTTGTCAGCATGGCCTGAACCAAAGGACTGTTAACTCAGTCACCGTGGGTGCACCTGTCACTAACAGCAGCAATCTTTCTGTCTGCTAACCCAAGAAACAAACTCAGGCACAACTAGGTATAAAACCATACACACATCCACCACATTCTCTGATGTTAAAGAACCATCACTGAAAAATCTGAAGACTTATGCTTTTCATGATATGAAAAAATGTGCTGCGACTCCTGCATTTGTACCATGACTGTCAAAATTTCAAACAATCTTTCTAATAAATAGAAAAGCAAGGATAGTGATGATACACTTTCACTCTTGTTGGCCATGTAATGTGATCTGCTTAGAAAAATATTAGGCCACGGGAAATCACTAATGTGATGTGCCCATTTTCGCATGCAATTGTCTTCACTCTCACAATGGACGGACAACTAGTACCAGCTGTGAGACATTTTCACAAAAAAATATAACACTGAAATCAACTGCATTAAACTCAGTTGGACTTGTCTATAAAGCTTCAACAAATTAACATGGTTAGGAGGCACAGAAGCAAGCCTTATTACCCATTTTCTGAAGGTGGCCATGAACAAATTGACAACTACATTTCACACTTGGTGAACTGGATCTAAATTGCAACATTTTAAACTTTTAGGCATTTATTAAGGCAATTTTAATGCACTAGGAGTTTGTTATATCACTTTGGATAGTTAGAAAGACATATTATTCTGTACCCATGAGAGAAAAACTCCTTAAGCAAACAGTTTCCAATACTTTTGAGACTGCCTCAGATGACATAGAAATGGATTACTCAGGGAAATTTCTGCATGTAACAGAAAGATAATTCCAGACTATTTAATTGCAGTCTATTTTCTACAGTTTATACCCTATGTGAAACATAACAAAAGAGTATTTTCTGAAATAAATAAATTTAATTTCCCTAAAATTATGGCAAGTAAGCATTCTTGGCTGACAATTCAATAATCACAACCAGAAGCTACTATAAAGTATCATGTGCAATATTAACACCAATGCCAACCTTACAAGCTTTGATAACATATATAATTGCTAAAATGTACAATTAAAATAAATTTGATTATGACATTTAAATAAGAATAGCAATTTCATATTCATTCCTCTTCAAAAGGAATGCATGAAGTCATAGACAGTATATTGTCAGTTGATTGCACAATTCTAAATAAATACTTTTGCAACTTTAAAATATATTAGTAGTCTTCTATCGATTTTCAGTACTTTAATAACTTTGCATTGTTATGGTTTACTTTTGTTTGTACCCAATGCTAAAATGAAAAAAACACCAAAACCCCAACCCATCACAAACACAAGAATTCAACTTTTAATCCACAGAGTATTTTTGTCATGATTAATGACATCTGAAAGTTGTTTAATTTAGGTATAATTCACCAAAACCTCTTAAAAGAATTCCAACAACAAAAACCCAACTCAAACCAACCTCACAGCTAGAACTATTTCAGTCACTGTATTCCCAGACTGAAGAAATTGCACAGGACAAAGTGAGCAGGCAGTGAGTCAGAAAAGGTATACTGTCCATCACATAAAACCAACTTAGCCCCTTACCACAACGTAAAAAGGCAAAAATTAAAAATTCAGGGTTATGCTGAACACAGTAATCTAAGCTATTTTGAAAAAACTAGTTTGTATTTTTCAGCTAAAAATATATCCCAGTAGTCACCAAGTGTTGCAACACTTTTCCTCGTATTTGTATTTTTGCCTATTTGACATCCAGAATGTATCAGTTTTCTTCAACAATTTTAGACACTACAGTTACAAAAACAGTGTCTATACATTCGACAAAATGAATGAAAACCTGGAACAGCACAGGCAGAATTCCCTGAAGCCAACATTATTTAGTCTAATTTTTTCCACTTAATATATTGGCTATTAAGAAGGCCCCATAAAATGTCCCATCTGCCATTTTATTTTTTTTTTATTTTTTAAGGAGAATATAGACCTGGAAGGGTCTACTAGGCCTCTTGTGGGGGAGGCGGGGGAAGGCAATGATGAAGCAGATGATGATGACATTGCAAGCTTTCAAATTAGAGACATATCAACTATGCATGGTTAATGCTTTGTAAATACATTATATACAATATCTAATGACAAGCAAATACATAAGTAACAGTCCAGAATTACAGTCACCTCTTCGCATTCCGCCTTGAAGAGAAGCGCTCCCATGTCTGCTGGCAGTCAAGAGAAGCTGTACATGCAACCCTTATCTCTCAAAACTGTGCGGCCCGGCGCGATTCCCGACACAGCAAAAGGGACTGCATTAACTCAGGATGTAACTAGCACTGGGAGCTCCAGAGACAGTAACTTGTCTGTCTTGAGCCTTTTAGGAAGAGCCACACACTAAAAATGGCATTGAAAAACACTGATTCACAGTATAAAACAACAAATTATGAAATCACACCCTGTACACATATAAGCAATAGAAATACACTATTGCATATGATATTAATGCTTATGCTCAGCAAAACCAATACTGCATGGAAAATACAAATGCTTCAGCACCTGTTTTCTTTTTGCTTTTAAAAAAATCTCTGTGCAAGGGAAACTTCTGAGCGGCAAGGCTATTATTTAGAAGGGGAGGCAATAAGGATAGGGCTGTGAGCCTTATCAACCGTCTTGGGAAAAGGGAGTGATCCCATGGCATGCCTGGGAACAATTGTACCACGATGCAGCTCACTTCCTTCATGCAAGAAGGGATATAAATATTTGGACACGGATATTTAATATAATTAATATAATTAATATAATTAATATAATTAATATAATTAATATAATTAATATAATTAATATAATTAATATAATTAATACACGGACACAAATCCTACTTTTGTGTAATATGAATTTAGATGCCTCGTCACCCACATGACCCAAAATAAAACCACGGCCCCGCCCCGCGCCCGCCCGTGTGCGCTGCCCCGGAAGCGCTCCCGCCGCGTCGCCTGCGGGAACATGGCCGAGTCGGCGGAGGAGGTGGCGGTGCTGGTGCAGCGGGTGGTGAAGGACATCCGCAACGCCTTCCAGCGGAACCCACACATGTGAGTGCGGCCGCGGCGGACGGCGCGCAGCGAGCGCTGCCCGCGCTCCGGCCGTGCGCGCTCCGCGGCGGGGCGGGCGGGCTGCGGGTCCCGGCGGGGCCGGCCGGGCCGGGCCCGGGCCCAAGGTCACGCTGTGAGCGGCCGCGGGGACCGCTCGGGTCTCCTCCGGCTCTGGGCGGCTGCGGTGGCACCCGCGCCTCCTTGGGGCAGGGCGCCGTGTCCCTGTTCTCGGTGCTGTCCTGCCGCCGCGCCTTCCCCTGGGCTCGCTCCGGGAGCCTGAGCCCTGGCGGCCGCAGCCCAGCGGCCACAAACGCCCCGCCGGTGAAAGGCACCGAGCCGCGGAAACCAGCGAGGGGTCCGCAGTCTGGAAGCGACAGATACACTTACAGAGAAAAGTTGCTAATGATCTCTCTCTGAACTCGGTGTTTGGCTGTGTTGAACTCGTCGCTCAGTCGGGATGGGGCTGAGCCTGCCCGCAGATGGGCCAGCCCTTCCGAGCCCCACAGCTGGAACAGAACACTGCTGCTGGTGGGAACAAAGCTTAGGATTGAAGCCTCCTGAATTGCACCTTTGCACCAACAGAGCAGTGTGGTGGATGCCACCTTCGAATCCGTATGTGTTGGTAGATGTGCGGCTGCTTTTCGTTGTGCATTGATTTGAAGAAGACAGAATGACTATGAAAATGCAAACCACAGTAGTTGTTATGACAATCAGATTTATCCAGCAATCTGGGGGCAGATGGTGTGTTTTATTTTTCAGTGTTGTTGACTAGCCTTGAGACCCTGTTTTAAGTGCCTCCTATACTTCTGTTTTGCAGAATGTATTTCCCCTGCCTTTAAGACACAAACTAGGGAAGTATCTTTCAATCTATATGCAAGCTCCATGTTGGTTATGGCAAATAAGGTAGCACATACGAGTAACAATTTCCTAATTTAAGTGAGGTGTATTTATGTCAGCTGGAAACTCTGCAGTCTCTGAGGTAGTGGCCTATTAATCTGTTCCAGAAAGTGTTAAGCTAAACAATGGCATATGAAAATTTTATGTCACTTAATTTATCCCTTTCCTTAACAAGAAAAGATTAGAATAAACACCTTCATGTTTCTCTAAATGTAGTAAGCAATTTGGGTGGGCGGACAGGTTTTAAAGTGCAGCATATGGATGCTGTTTAAATAAGGCTGTGTTTTGCCTTGAAGCTTCATTTTTAGGATGTGAAGCATAATGCACTGCAAATGGCCACTATTTATGAATGAATGTTCTGATTTTTTCATAGTTCCCAGTCCTCTGCCAGGATTCTTTATTGGTTGCAAACTTGGAGATTATGTTTTTGAAGAATTTGCTGCTATTGTAATTTCCTTTCATAGATGCAATCTCAGAGATGAAAGTAGGCTGCAAGAGTGTCTGCTGAGACTGATGCACTGTGACATGCTTCAAGTGAAAAAGCACAAGCTGCTGCTACCTTATCCCTTGAAGTAGAAAAAGTAACAATCTTGTCTGCTAGATTTGTGAAGTGATTGAAAATACTTGAAATGGGACTGCAGGCCAGTGTAGGCTGTGGGCTCTTTGCTGTTCTGCCTCTGTGCCTCAGGAGCACCAGGCTGTGTCTGTGCTGGCCAGGTCTTTTCATGTATCTTCATCTTGTCTTCTGCTGCTGGCCAGGTGATATTCCTGACAGGTGATATCCTGAATTCAACATGTTGCAGATCCATTTTTGAACTATTTTACATGGGAACTGCCTAGCTTCACTGAAAACAGGGAATCTCCTACATGCATGATGTTCCTGTTCACTTACCATACTTTTGTCCCTTACTCACCTCTTTTTCAGCATTTATTGACCCTTGTCAATGGCTGCTTGTACACCTACCCACTTGTCAGCTTTGTGCAAGCTCTACCTGTCTGTTATTTTGGTGTGTTCAAAGCAGTATTGTGAAAATTAGCTCACCCAAGTTAGACTTCTTCTATTTGGTAATAAGTAAAGGTGTGGATATTTGTTTTGTGGTTTGTTTTTTTTTTTTCTTTTCCTCTGCTTGCTGTTTACCTTTGGTATACTGTTTGTGAGTTACAGCTGGTAAGTTCCTATGGTAATTCAGCGACTTAATTAGCCAAGCAGTGTCTGACTGTGTCTTTGTTGCTTTTGGAGACTTTCATGTCCCTTTATGCAAGGTCAGGTAACATTTTGGCAAGGACTGGGTTTAGCGTTAGTAAAAGAAAGACCCAGCGATACAAACTTCAGGCTATTAAGATACTGTGTTGAAAGAAGCAGACTGGAATGTCATTTTAGGTTTAATCTTGCTGCTTGAAGAGTGTAGCTTGTGTTAAATAGAGCAGCACAGATAAGGATCTTGGTTTGATACCTATTTCTTGCTTTTAGTGGGGTAGAGGAATGCTTTTTTCTTCTCTCTCAGCTGACTGGGGAAGCTAAGGGACCTGTGTGCATGTTTGGAGACAGAGCCACGTGGTTTGCAAGTGTTTTACCTTGATTTCACCTTACCTGTGTTTTTTGCGGCTTGTGACATATGTTGTTGATGTATGGAAGATCAGATCTCTTTTCTGAATAAGCAACTACTTTCTTAAAAAAAAGCACACTGTGTCACTTTTTATTACCTCAGAAATAGTCCAGTGAGAACACAGAAACTAAATCAGCATGCTCAGGGTACCCAGTAATAAATTTTATTTAAGATAATTGAGTTGGGGTTTAAGAGCTGACACTCACTGTGTATCTGTAAGTCTTGTATTAAGAAGACTTAAAATGGAGAATTTGTTTTCTGAGATCACAAGAAATCTTTTTTATTATGTGTGAGATATGAGGATTTTCCTCTTTAGCAACAATTTTTTCCATTGAATGGGAGTTGGTGGAGAAATGATGCATAATCAAAATAAAATAATGTTGCTTTATGTCTAAACAAGTGTGAATCCTTGATAAGCTGTTTATTTCTAAGAAGCTGCCAAAGCTGCTATTCAGCATGCTAGAAAAACCTGACAAAAAGTAAAATATTGTATGGTCCATTGAAACTGAACAGCTGAGTCTCTTCTGCTTTGTTGTTTTAAAGGCTCACATTTCTTGTACAGAGTTGTCATCTGTCAGACTCTGTATCTCAGATCTTCCCCCTGTTGATCATCGTGCCTTGCATAGCACAGTTAAAATTGGGACATGTGGAAGTGAGCATATTCTTCTGTGTGAGTCTTAGTTTAAGAGCGCCTGCTGCAGGGCACACCTGGGTAGCTTTTGGTCAGTCAGGTGCCTGTACTAGATAGCATGTTCTGTTTCTGTTGCTGAAGCAGCAGTTACAGCTCTGTCGTGTATTTATTACAAAACCAGGGGTGCTCGTTGATTAAGCTGAGTTAAACTGATGGGATAATAGTCTAAAAACAGAAAAAATGGGGCCTTCATCATTTCAGATCTTTGTGAAAATCAAATAAAACTTTTGCTATTACAGATTTCAGCAAAGACGAGGAAAAAAGATGATGGAATGTTTGGTTGAGAAGCATTGCCAACCATTGCATTTCTGTATTGGGAAAAATAATTGTCACCTACTTGAAATAAGCTTAATTATTTTTATCTCTGTTTTTTAAGAGATGAAATTGGATTAATACCCTGCCCTGAGGCCAGATATAACCGGAGCCCTATTGTCCTGGTACAAAACAAGCTTGGTGTGGAGAGCTGGTGTGTGAAGTTTCTTTTGCCATATGTCCACAATAAACTTCTCCTCTACAGACAGAGAAAACAGTGGCTGAACAAGGATGGTAAGTTCTGAGTTGGAAAAGAATATATGATGTGATCTTTAGTGCATATTTTTTGTTTATCCTAAAATAATTTAGTTTGGAAAAGAGCTTTAAGGTCAGAGTCCGGCCATAAATCTGGCACTGCCAAGTCCAACGCTAAACCATGTTGCTAAGTGCTGTGTTTACATGACTTCCAAAATACCTCTAGGGATGGTGACTCTACCACTTCCTGGACAACCTGTTTCAATTTTGACAATGCTTTCAGTGAGGAAATCTTTCCTCGTATCTAACCTAGACCTCTCCCGGTGCAGCCTGAGACCATTTGCTCTCATGCTGTTGTTTGTTACCTGTGAAGAGAGACTGACATTCACCTGGCTACAATCTTCTTTTATGGAGTTTTGGAGAACCATAATGTTCTCCCAAGCCTCCTTTTCTCCAGGCTAAACACCTCCAGTTCCCTCATCTCCTCTTTATAAGACTTGTGCTCCAGTTGCCCTTCTCTGGCCTCACTCCAGTACCTTGATGTTTCAATGAGTACATGGAGATGGTCACTGATGTGGTCCTGCTGGCCACACCATTGTGATCCAAGCCAAGATACCCTTGGCCTTATTGACAGCCTGGGGACACTGCTGGCTCATGTCCAGCTGGTTCTGGCTAGCACCCCTGGGTCCTTTTCCACCAAGCATCTTTCCCTCAAGTCTGTGGTGTTGCAAGGTGTTGTTGTGACCCAGGGGTAGGACCAGTGAGAACCTCTTACAAGTGGCCTCAACTCATTGATCCAGCTTGTCCAGATCCCCCTGCAGAGCCTTCGTTCCCTCCAGTAGATCAGTCCCACCCACAGATGTGTAATCCCCAAACTGACTGAGAGTGTGCTCAATGCCCTTGTCTGGGTCATTTAACCTTCCTAATGCCAGTTTAACCTGTTCTGGAAGAAATGGTGGTTACTGAGGAGAGCAGGCTTTGGATTGTGCCTCTTAACTTGAATGAGTTTAAGGTCATTTGAAAATAAAATTTCTTTCTCTCTTGCCCAAACTGGAAAGGTTAGAGACAGACAAGTTCAATGAGTTATTTGAGGAAGTGATGTTAGTTGATACAGAAGGAATTTTCTCCTGTTTTCCTGAGTCAAAGGAAAATGTGGTGATGTATATATTTACTGTAAGAAATGAGTACAGTGTGTTTCAGATGCAGAGGTACCAGAAATTATAAGTCCCTACAGCTTGATAACTGTGAAGTTTTATTCCCTTTCTAATCTCTTTGTTTTGTTTTGGTTTTTAGTTTAACTTGCGTGAAAAATTCTTTTGTGTATGTTCTTTAAAAAAATTCAAAATAAAGAATTATGAACAGGTGTGACATAGGAGGTACTTAACTGCTTATGAGGTGTCCTGATCAGAGTAAGAATGAAAAAGAATAACTAGTTGATGAAACAAGTTTTTTGTTTATTGTTGCAGTATCTTCTAAGTAGCAGTTGGAATAAATAATGTTCTTATGCTGGGCTTCTCAGTGTCTTATTTTTGCTGGGTTTTTTGTTTTTCTGTTAGAAACTTCTTTCTAGTGTCTTTTACCTACTGTGGTATTTTTAATATCCCTCAGAAAAAGGGATATCTGTTCTGTTGAAAGCACCCTGTGACTACTCACAGAGTTCAGATCTTTAGTATCTCACATGCAATTGGGTTTCAGTTTTTGACTGTCACCATATTTTAATTTTTTTCTGTTTACTTGTGCTACCTGTCCATAAAGCACTGTCTGTGTCCATTTTGCTTCAGCATATGTGGGATTGTCTTCCCTTCCTGAAGCATACCAAACAGTCACTATTCATTCAGTTGTGTTAATTGCAGCTATAGCAAAGCCAATCTCCCTGGCTGCTTTATGAAATAGAGAGTTAAAGAATTATGTTTTAAACAGTGGGATGTTAGCATACATCTGGTGCAGACTCTAGCATGTGGTCATGACTAACATGGTGTTACAGGTGTACTTGGTGTTACTGCTAGGTAAGTTTTTTAGAGTAGGTCAGTGTAGATCAGATGATGATATATGGCCAGTAGCATTTCTCCTTTGATATCTACTTTTCTTTGGTGTTTTATGGCTGTATTCTGTTTCACTTTAAGTGGATGAAGCCAGATGTGCACTGATGCTTATTAAAGTGTAGTGTATGGCACAGTTAGATGGTGTTGGTCAGGTCTATAAATGTGCACTTGAGCTTCTTTTGCCTTTGGAGATGATACAGAGAAAGAAGATTGAGGTCTTTAGTGGATGTTGGAGTGGCAGAGAGTGTTGTATGCTTTTGTGTTGTCTGCCTGATGGTGGGGTCTAGATTTGATAAACACATTTTGGTTTCTTATTAGAAACTTACGGATATATAACGCAAGCATTTTGGAAATGGCAGACAAGGCAGATCATGACAAGGAGGAATCCTGTCAACACAGAGTCTTCCAGTGCTAGCTGTACACCTTGAGTGATGTTACAGTAACAGTGCACTGGCTTGATCCTTAGAAGTAATTATCCTTCAAAAGAATAGCTTAAAAAAGTTGAAGTGTTTTCATGTGTTGCTGGGTATGACAGACCCATTAATTGTGTTTTATTTTTGTTTAACAGATTGTTTGTGTCACTGTGTTTCCCACACTCCTCCTAGAGGGTTGATGTCATGTGGACTTTAAAAATCTTATGTTGCCCTTTATTTTTTTATTTTAACATAATATTTTCTTGAATGTTTTTTCTCATAACAGACATCTTTAAAAGACTCTTCCTACTGGGTGTGTATTGCTAACATAAGTAACTTCCATTTCTTCTTGGTCTTTGTGGTTTATGGTTGGACCTGTTAAGACCAGGATGTTTTTGATCACTGCCACCAACCAGCTGCTGATTTATTCAGTTCTCATTAAAACTGGTGATTGTGATATGCCAAATTTGAAATTTGTAATGCAGACGATTACAAAATTCAGTGAACAGAACTTTAATACAGGGAATATAATTAATGTTGGCTAAGACATAGCTAAATACAAACTTTAGCATTTAAGGAGTTGAACCTACTAGCACGGGCAAGCTTAGCAGCACCAGTGGTTGTCATTGCAGTGCTTTTGGAGGTCTGAGGTAGGAGTTTTGATGTATATTGTTATTATGCTGCAGATCTTCAGCAGGAAGGCTTCATTTTGGTCTCAAGTGTTACTGTAACATCTAACCATTGAAATTTCTATGCAGATAAAAACTTGTTTCAAGCCAAACTACAAACATTGAGATTTATGTCATGTTTTTGGGTGTCTGAAGACAGCTGATAGCTATTACCTGTGTGCTGGCACCCTGCTCCAATCACACCAGTGCAGGTGCTTTGTTGTGATGCTGTCACATCTGCCAATGCCACTGGGATGGTGTCTGCAGGCCTCTGCTTCCCTCAGGTGAAACCTTGCACAACCCTTCCTCTCAAAATACAGCTTGGAACACTCGGTCAGTGAATACTGCAGTAGCATGGATTTTAGACTAGTGCCTGCAACTTGTTTGGCTTTCTTTTGAAAATGAAACTACATTCTGATTTGTCTCTTCAATTACAAATGTTCAAATGTTCTTCAGTTTCAAATGTGTGAGAAGAGGTGATCTGCAGCGTTTTCATATCTGCTGAAGTTTTCTGTAGCCACTGTAAAACACAAGTCAGGTCCTTCATGTTCAAACCCTCTTTGTAATGGAGTTTAGTATGTTTACCATAATTGGGTTTCACATTTGATAAAAGGTTTGAGCAGAAACTGAGCTGCAGTGGTGGAGAGAATTAAAAGTGTATGCTTGGAATTTGTCAGGGTAGTTGTTGTCTTTTGCATCTAGTGAAGAAATAGATTTGTTTATTACTGCTTCAGAAGTAAATTGTATATTCTGTTGAAGCTTGTTATAATCAGTGATTGCAGATGTAGTTTCTACTCGCCTCTTCTGTTTTGAGCCATTGTAAGCCATTTAAAATAGAACAGTGGATAACAGGGTGCTGATTCAAGTGTCTGCTTTCAGTGTCTGGTATTTTTTCCGACAGGATCCTGGAAGAAGGAGCTACTTTATAGTCATTCATTGATAAGCTAGTGACACAGATGTTTAGTTACAATTTCGTTTGGATACATGGAATCCAGAATCATGATTGCTCCCCCTGCTATTATTTGAGTTTAGAAATCTAAATTTTACAATATGTTTTTATTCTTTCTTCAGTATTTTTTAAATTTATGCATGCATCGTATTTATGTTAAGTAACAAAATCATCAATCTCAACGTAATTTTGAGAAATTGTTACAAACTACGCACAGAATATCTAAAAAACTGGATACAGCCATATTTAAAGGTGAGCTAAAACCATATTGTTTTATTCACCTTTTTGCAGCTGGGGAGACTTTAATATGCAAAAGGATGTGCTCATTGTGAGCACCTGTAATGCAGTAGATTGCCTGAAACATATCTAGTAGAAAGTAATTTTAAATTGTAAATAAAAGATGCTGTGTTTTGTTACTAGCACAGGGGGAATAGTTAGCAAGTACTATCATTGTGTGCCAGATCCATCATAAGGCTTCCTAATAAAAAGTGGCTCTGAGATTACTAATTTGTGCCATTTTTGTATTGTAAAGTGGCCTAGAGGTTATTAAGTTGTCATGTCACATCTCTGGCTCAGAATCCACACTTCATGATTCTTCATCTGTTACTTACATCAAAGAACATTAACATGAAAGAATTGGGTTTTACTTGGAGATTTTCCTTTTATCTGCACCTTTCCTTTGATAATATTCAGGATGAAGTGAACCTCTGTGATGGGCAAATGGACAAATGCAAGCAAGTTCTGTTTAAGTTGGACTTGATTGAGTGCTGTCACAGACCTTTGAGATTACCAGAATGGTCATTTTAACTGGAAATCATGACTAAACAAGCTGTGTTGTTCTAAGTTGACTTTGAACAGGTTTTATGAGAAGTATTCAAAATACTGAAGTAGGCTATAATAACCTTTTGCTTGATGTGCATATAACATGTATCTAATAATTACTAAAACCATCGTTGTAGGTAAAATGGAAAATGTACATAAAACAATCACAGCTCACAATTTTAACTATACCTCCTTATAAAAATTATGCTTTGGTAAATGTCCCAAACTAATTTCTGAATGTAAAATTGAAATAGTAGCCACAAAACACTTAGCAGATGTTTAATTTTATGTATGTTTGATTTTGTGTATATGAATAATCTTTGGATTACTTAAGAATTGGGATGGTCAGTTGCATAAACTTAAATGGACATTTAAATACTTTGCTGGTTCAGGAATTGGGTAAACCAAGGAATAATATTTCTACAATATGTAGGAAGAATATGCATTTTTTCACATATGAAATATACTTATTCCAGGCAGCAAAGAGAGATTTAACTTGTGAAAATAGAATGTTAAGTTCATTCCTTAAGACACGTTTCAAAACATTACAGCTTAGTGCAAAGTCAACAGTACACTAAAGAATTCCCACAAGAGCCTCCCCATCACCCCTTGCATTATATGGTGGCTTAGCATGTTCCTCATAAGGAAGAACATAATGGAAAACACAGAATTTCTTTGTTGGACATAAATGATCAATCAGACATACAGTAACATATGAAGGTATTTCACTTTTAGATCTACTTAAATATTGACTCTTGTTTCAAAGACATGTGAAGTCAAGTCCTTTTGCGTTTTGAATTAATTTATGTATCATTACTGTGGAATTTGGTAACAGTTCATGTTACTGTCATATTGACTGCACTAACCAGAGATCAGTTTCCATGAGATACCATCGTTTTCTTTCTCCTTCAAGGAATGAAGTACTTCTTATTTGCTGGAAATCACCTGAAGTATGATCTAATTAGTATGTTAAATGCAGGGTGATTAGGAGAGAATGTAGCCAAATTTAATTTACAATAAAAGCTTGTATAGTCACATTCCAGTTTTATGACATAGTTAAAAGTATGTGTAATACATACATCTACAGGATACAGTGCTTAAATGTAGGGATGCCAGCAAATGTTTTTGGTTTTTGCTTTGGGTTTTTTATTGAATTAGTCTTAAAACTTCATTCTGAAGTGCTTCACAATGTATTTAAAGTGTTTTCTGTATAGTTTGATAGCGAGTACTTGTGTAATCCTCATTCATAGCTGTGGTTCATTTTTTAGCTACAGTTGTTTTTATAGTATGTGTATTTTTTGTAACAGTATGATATATGGTGGCCATCTGCAGCTCAGACTTGTTCTAAAATAGTAGGGTATATTTTTACTTTTCTCTAGTATTTTAAAAGCTTTGGATTTTCTTCGAAGAATTCTCTGCTTCACATATATAGTGTATGTGGTTAAAATTATTGAATACTCAAGGACTTTATATTATGATTTTTCCTTGTTGAGGGCATACTCAGTTCATTATTTTAAATAATGAAAAGTGAGGATATGGCAGATCTTGCTCGCTCTTAAATTAACTATTAATTAATTAATGCTCTCTCATTTCTGGAATAAGAGCAGTATTTTACAGAGGTACAGCAGCCCATAGCAGAGAGACTTTGAAGAATGAGAGGGAGAAGGGGTCTGCAGAGAGATCAGTGCTGTGTGCAAATCATTACTAATATCTCTTGTTAATTACTTAATGTCTCTTGTTCCATTGTTTTAGAGCTGATAGATATCACATGTACCCTGCTACTGCTGAACCCCGACTTCACCACTGCTTGGAATGTGAGGTATGTTGCACTCAGAAAATGCCATCAAAAGAGCTGGGCCTTACATGAGTCAACTGAAAGTTTTGTTTCACGTGGTTGTTAGTGATGCAGCAAGAACTTGTCAGCTAAGAAGTGTTGAAAGAATGTTAAAAATCTCTTCTTTCCTGTATGTTGCACATAGTTTGAGACTGCCCTTTTTTGGTTTTTATTGGGTTGGTTTGTTTGTTTGGGGGTTTTTGTTAGATTGGGTTTTTGTTGTTTTTGTGGTTGTTTTTTTTTTTTTTTTTATTGCAGGCTGATGATTATATGCTGCATATGAAGGTGCTTGCACCACATTTTCTGGGTGCATAAGACCCTCTGAACTACCATTCCTCTTTCCTTCTGCCGTTAATGAGGGTAGTGCTCAGCTGATATCTGCTGTGTGTATTCACTGTTACCATTTTTACCTGTCTTTGAGTTCTTTTGAGATTCCAGCTCAGTTTTCTGCCATTACCAGTGCAGGCTATCAAGGCTCAGTAGATACACTGCAAGAGAGGGGGAGAAGGTGTCTACCCTTTATTTCAAACACATTTCCCCCCTCCCCTTTCCTTTCTTGTAGCTGCTTGGTTTAGCGTAGCTTCATCATTGCTCAAGCTTCAGAACTTATCCAGGAGTCATAATGGAAGAGGAGCATTTATTACGGAAGTAACTTATTTATTACGGAAGTAAAAGGAATTTACTTCCGTGCTCTTCAGGAGGTGCAGAAACAACAATTCCTTACAATTTTGTAATCTTACAGCTTCTCTGTAAGTTTCAGAGTTGGAGGAGTGTTCTCTTTCTGTTGCTAAGGTAAGACTGGAGACAGTCGATAAAAGCTATAGTTTCAGGAGGGCTGGAGGGCTGACAAAAGTATGATAGTCTATAGGAGTGCATTAATGGAAAACAGGAATTCTCTAGTTATAGTGCTCTATTGCAGGTGATGCATAACAAAATGACCTAGAAAGATAATGCTGCATCTAGCTGTCAGCCTTACTTATGGCAAATCCAGCTTTTTCTTTTTTGTTCTTTTGCTGAACAGTTCTGAAGGCTTTTGCTGTGTTCTGTATGTTTCTATCTCTCAGGTCTAAAAAATGAATGTGATAGCAAAGGGTTTAATGTAATGAAAATGTATAACTTGAGTAGCTTTGAAGTGTTAAAATGGAATTAGGAGCTTGTATAAGTACTTGTATAAGTACTAGAGCTGCTACAGTAATCTCATATTATGGTATACTTACAATTGATTTTTGGTTTATGTTTTGTGGAAATTTTTTTTATTGCACATGCATTTATCCTTATCAGTCTGGCTTTTTTTGTACCTGACAGCTGAAAGAGTTAGCTTTTATGTGCATGAGAAGAGTAGGTCAAAGTTGTAAGTGGAATTAAAAATGCTGAGGAATATGGATGAAGATTGTTTTCTCTTTTATGATGTTTATGATTCACCAAAACATACAAATTACTACAGAAGCTGGCCTCACTCCCCGAATTGTTGACTAATGATGTACCAGTCAGTCTGTCTTTGAAGCTTTCTTCAGCATCCAGAGAGATCTTGTTACACAAACCAGTCAGTAGCTGTGGAGATTACCAGTGAGCCCATTGTAGAAAAGGAATGCTTTGCTGAATGTGACCCTTTGTTGTTCTAGGCTTCTGCTGGGAGTTTGCTCTTTTGAAGGGGAGGCACTTTAGTTATGTTGACATATATTTCAGCTTCTCTGTGAAATTACACATCAAGCTAGCCAGATGTTTGGCATAATCAGTCACAGAGTAGAGGACTGACTGTGTTCTGTACAGATGCTGGTGATAAATCCTTATCCTGAGATAGTCAGAGCTGAGAACTAATTGTATGAGACTTGCACTCTGGAACATGAATGGATTTGTTGTGGGATGATGTTTTCTTGTTGCCCAGACTATGTTTGTCATGCCAGGTTCATCTTGCATTCTCCATACAGTAATTCACTGCTTTATTTTGAGGGGGGAAAAAAGGCATTATAGATCTTAAGTAGCCTAAAAAAAAAAAAAAGTATTCTAGTTGTTTACTGAATAGCAGCCCTGCACACAGTGTGTTTCTTGTGTCTTTATTGACTTTCATTGTAGGTAGGGATACTCCCTTTTTCATATGTTGAATTCTGCTGAAAGCTTCAGAGATAGTGGTTGACTCAGTAGCACTGAACTTGAAGATAGAAGAAGAGAGAAAAAAAGGAAATCCCTTCCTAGCAAAGGACACAGGACTTTGCAGAGCCCAGTCAGAAGACTTGAATGGTGTTATGGAAGACAAGTGGGCATTTCAGCTCAGCTGACAATCATAGGAAATCGTATCTGATTAATGAGGCACAGGAGAACTTTATACATGTTATCTAGGCCAGCTATGAGCAGTTGGTATGCCTTGACTTTGTAACTATTCTGAACAGTTGTAATGTCCTACTACATATATTTGTTGTTTATTTATTTGTTTAAATTAGAAGTGAGTGGAAAGTTACAGAAGGGCAGGGGCTATAAGCTAAACCCTGAGACCTGAGCAAGAGGTAATTATATGGCAGAGAAAGACTTGCTATAGAGTAGGTGTGTCACTTCCTAGGAGCTGAGAGAGAAACCCCTGTTATACTAAATGGGATAAGATATATCTCCAGTTGTTAATCCTAAATCGGTTATCCTGTGTTTTTAGAATTTGAAAGTCTTGCAAGTTAAAATGACCAAAATCTTTTGGGGTGATTGTAAAGGAGTTTTCCTAAATGCCTTTAGTCTTCCTGTTATACTTCCTGGCATGTACAGTTGATGAAAAGACATTCGGTAACAAGATGCTCTGAAAAGTCCTGTTTTGCTTTCAGGTATAGATTACTTCAAAGGTGTTAGCATAAGCCAAGTAAAAATGATTCCAGATGATCTTTTATGGGAGTTATAACCCTTCAGGCTGAAACATCTATGATCCACATGGCAAGAAAGTGAGCTAGAAATTATATATCCCAAGTTGGATGTTAGCTGAAAGAGCTTAGAAGAGGTTTATGTGGGAGTATATGGTACTTCAGTCGTACTAGTGCTTGCAGTCTTTTGTGAATGGGAGAATCTCTCATTTGAAAATCATTACAGCTAAAACCAGCTTTTCTACTGCAGCAGTGAAGGTGAATTGTCTATACTGTTCTTCAATTTTGCAAAAGAGGAAGTTTAAGAGTGTGTTAGTGTGAGGCTGTTTACTTAATGTCAATGTTTTAATATAGAAAGAGCACTTTCTTTACTGAAAGTTAAGTTTTGGGAGGTAGGTGGCCTGGTAGTCTAAATCTTTGTTAAATATGTACATGTATTTGTTTTAAGTGTCAGACTGATGTAAGCTGTATTTTCATTGTGTGTGTGGTAAGTAATTTTTACGAAAATGTCACTTTTGTACTGCAGTAATGAGGTAGTTGTTCCACTTACTCCAGTGCTGACCCTGAATCTCTCTTTTGTCTTCTTTCCAAATTTGAGTGCATTAGCACAAAATGGTCTGATCAGTCTGCCACTTCTGGTTGGTATATCTGAACTACCTGTTAAAAACCATCTAGAAGCATCCAATCTGAAGCATGTGGGAACTTGGTTGGAATAAAAACAGATGCCCCAGTAGCTATCAGAAGCAAAACTTTTACAAGGATTCATTCCATAAGGATACATTCCCCACTCTGCTTCAATTTTAAATAATACTTGCTCACTCTTAGTGTTGCAACCATTAGCTTCTGACTGTGCTTATAAGTTTCAATTACAGCAACACAAAGCCAAAGTACCAGGTGGAGTCAGTTTCCTGCTAAAAATTACAACTCAGACAGAAAATATGTACTCTCAGAAAGGAAATATGTTAATTTGTTTGTGAGACTCAGGCCATAACTTTGTTTTCTGCATCAGACTGCAGAACTGCAGAGTTTTGCCTTCTTATGTGATAGCGGATCTTACCAGAATCTATTTCTTCCCCTCCCACTGGGGTCTTTTGGTCAGAGAGTTAATTATCTGGTCCTCACTTACTACAGCTATTCCAATCATTATGATGAATCAGAAATTATTAGCCAAAATCCAAACCCATGCCAAAATTGCTTCTGCTTCTTGTACTCTCAGTTTCAGTTTTCCCAGAACCTGTGACTTCTGCAGGTTCTGGGAAATGTGTATTTTCTTTCTACAGATTGTAACTTTGGAACTTACTGTATCTTTACTTCAAAGCTGCTACCTACTAGATTGGAGAATAGGATATGAAGACTAATGGCCTTGGAGGAAGCAGTGATGGGGTGATGTCTACAAACATGCTCAGGACAGGCAATAAGAGTTATAAAGCTAGAAAGAAGAGGGTGAGGGGCAAGAAATTCTGTGCAAAGAAGGTGAGAAAGCCAAGTACAGATTTTAATTTTGCTCTGTCTGTGGGAGGTACTCTAGGAAGGGTTGTGTTGGATGAGCACTAAGTTTTGTCAGGGCAAATTTTCAATTTTTTTAAACCAAAGATTGTTTTGCATTTAAGTAAACTGAGCGATTGCAGCCTTTTAGTTGAGTTTGTAAAACATTCTACAAACAGAATATTTCCCTTTTCAAAATAAATATAGGGAACCTTGACACTGTATCTTGAACAGTACAAAAAAAAAAGTAAGTATGGAGGAGTGCTATGTGTAAGAGTATTTCCAGATGTACACAGATATTTCCAGATGTGATCCAAGGGCTTAATTTCAAGAAGGGATGTTTGTTCACATATGTAACCCTACAAGTAGTTGACTCAATAATTTCTGGGTAGGTTTGAAAACTAATGTGTTGTATGTATTCAAATAAGATAGAGTTCTTTGTGCACATATGTATAGTACATATGTATGTATAATAGAATGGATTCATGCACTAAGGGTTTTTTAAACTCTTGTAGTTTGACAGTGAAATTCTGGTATGAAACAAAGGAAATGCCATGCAATTTGTTATTGGGATTTGTGTTCTGTTTTCAGATTACTACTTTTATTCACACAGATTTATTTTGTCTTTTGTAGGAAAGAATTAATACTGTCTGGCACTTTAAATCCACTTAAAGATTTGCATCTTGGAAAACTGGCGTTAACCAAGTTTCCAAAGAGTCCAGAAACATGGATTCATAGGTTGGTATCCTTTGCTTTCTATTGCCTCCTGAAACATTTTTCCTAGGTTTTTTTGGTTTTTTTTCTTTTTTTTTTTGTTCTTGGGTTAAGGAGAGTCGTAGATGCAGGAGAACATCTAGAAATATATCAGATTCTTTGAACCAGTCATTGCAGAATACTGTGCTTTGGCTTTTGAAGCTACCTGTCTATATTCTATACTTAGAACTGAAATCATATGTACCTTTTCTGCTGCATACTTTTTAAATAAACTTCAGAGGGGGGATAAATTCCCTTAGAGGTTTATTATGTCTTGCAGCACCTAAAATCCTCAACCTGAAAATTCTGATTCCATAATTGTAAGTATTTCAGCACTGTAGATTTCTCCTTTCCCTCAAATTTACTACTGTATTGTTTGTCTACATTTCAGAAAGTGAAGGTTCTATTAAAGCCAGCTTTTGTTAAATAAAGCTGGGTTTTTTTCCATTTCAATACTGGTCTTTTTGGTTTGGTGAATTCATTTTTATTATTTCTGACTTAAACTAAATCATTCAGTCATCATTACTGGGTATTAAAATAATGGATCACATGTTTGGAAAATCCAGAGTTACTCAAATGCACAAACCTAGCCATCTCAGTCATGACTGACGATAAAAAGCCTTCAGCAGAGCCAAGTGAAGCATAGCTCCATTGCTCAGCTTTAAAACAAAAAACCAAAAAAAATTTGTACACATTTTATCTTTTTTCATGATAGAAATAAAAAGCTAGGTCAACCTTTTATAGACAGCCCTAAAGAGATTTAAATGTAACATATTACGAAGCAGTTTGCAGTGTTTGTGTTTACAGCTGCCCTAATGCTGGACGTGTTAAAGTTGATAATGCATTAGGGACTCCATACTCTATAAAGAACACGACAAAACTTACTGACTACATGAGAATTTTTGGAAATGAAAGTTGTTGGTAAACTCTTGTTTGTCAGTGCATGCACAAGCTTAAAAGTCTCAAGGTAAACCTAGTAAGCAATGCCTGGAATATTCCAAAGTGTTTCATTGATACAGCAACAACAAGGATTTTCTGCGGCATTGACTTTTAATATTTGATGTTCAATTTCTTTCATCATCCTCTTCTACAGATTTGTGCTTCTTGTAGCTTGAAGCCGAAGTATGTATTACAATGGGGAAAAATTTGCAGTTTTTCATAGTTTACCTTTCTACATGGTAGCTAACACCAGAAAAATAAGAATTTTTTTTAACATGTTAATACTTCTGAACCTGGTACCATCAATATCATTATGATGATCAATATGTTTTATCAAATAAGTCAGAATATTAGGTTCTTATATTTATTTACATTTTAGAAAATATAAAATTATGTGTATAATTTCCATGCAAATTTAAATTAGGAGTATTTTGATAGTGTCATGATTTGTTTTTCTTTCTCTTACTTGCCTACATCAGAAAACTGTATTTGAGGGTGATTGCACAAATGTTTGGCTTGGATTTGGATATGCTGACCATAATTCATACATGTTAGAAAATAAGATTTGCAAAAATACTTCTCTGCATCAGCATAATGATTAATTTTGGGTTTCCTATTCCTCCATGGTATTAAATCTCAGAAGATGCAAAAATCTATAATAGGGCTATGAATAAAATTCAAATTCAAAAACCAAATTGCTTTTTTCTTATGTATGGGAGATACACTCACTGAAGATGCCAAATACCTGTGATTCATTTTGTCACATGACCTCCTGCTGTATATTTTGGGAGTTCAGCTATATCTTGTGCATGTGCATATACAGTCAGTATATCTATTGATTGTGCAGTTGTCACTTAACAATCCTTTGTTTGTTTGTTTGTAGTCATTCCAGGAATTGTATGAGCAGTAGCAACATGCAAAAGTAAAAGTGACTCCAATTTAATTGGAGTAAAACTAATGCAGGAAATTTTGCATAAAAACCAAATAATACCATGGTATTCAACGGGTTCCAGAAATAGATTTTAAATATTCTGAGGTTGTGATTGAACTGTCTAGAAAGCAACTCGAATTTAATTTTGTAGGTTTTTTGATGCTGTAGTCACAGAGACCATAAAGTCTGTATTTTTTCACTCTCCCCTGCACATGTAATTTATCATATTTCCTTGGTTTATAAAGCAAAATCATTTTAAGAAACTGAAATAATTACAGAGTTGAAATATTTTGTCTTCATGGTTTTACTCAGATAATGATGTTAATGAAATAATACATATATTTTGTTAAAAGAGTGACTGTGCTTATTGAGTTTTTTTACCTAGACTTTTTTAGTTTTCCATTTCTTGCATAGCTGTGGACTGAAGTAAAAAATACAAAACGTGATGTTTAGATCAAAGGCACTTTTAAAAATTCAAAGTTAAGTCTTCAGAATTATCACATTTCATAAAATACTGTTACACAACAGTCAAAGTATGGTTTGCATAGCTGTACATCTTTATTTAGAACAAACAGTGTATAGAAGGAAAGTGTTCATACACTGCTTGTAACTTTCTTCTGAGAAACACAGTCAGTTTAAAATTGCATTCTTACGAATTGTCTTTAATATTGTCTTCCAATACTTTGTACTTTTTTGATAACTGAGTGAAAAAGATACAATGTAGATAAAATCCACGAGTGATCAAGCATATTATGCATGTCTTCAAATGAGAGAAAAGGCAGATGAGTTAACAATTTTTTTTAAATATGTGGTTAACTATCTGTTTATATATATGTAAATATATATGTAGATATCTAATTTTACATATGGCTTGCAAAATAGAAGTCTCTGTTTCAGAAAAGTTAATTTATTACTTTTATTTTATTGATTTATTTATTTTAACTTGGAGTTAAAAGAAATCTTGACACCTTTGAAAGTATCAATTCATTGGTTTTGGAACCAATGTGAACCAGTACAAAGCAGGACAACCTCCGTGTTGCACCAGAGGATGTCAGTCTCTCCAGAGCATTCCACATTGGACCATAGCAATTCCATTGACATGGGCTGTTCTGTGGAAATTTACACACGTGTAATCTATTTTTGTAGAACCCTTTTGTGTTGGGGCTGCAGATGCAGCATTGAGATTACCTCTAAAAATACTACTAAAATTTTGTCCAAAGTAAAATAAAAACCCAGAACATCTAGGCATCTGTGCTTATTTCAGACACATGAAATCAAATATACGTAATTCATCAGTAGAAATATTTGTTTTGTTTATACCTATAGCCCTTGAAACCACAAGCCTTTTGGACTTTGCTACTGCTGGTGGTGTACAGAAACCAGTTTGAATTGTGGTGTGTGTACGGTACTGTCAGATGTAAAAGATACTGAGCAGAATTATTTTTTTATCAAATTACTTCTTTCTATCTCGCTTTGGCTGTTTCACTTTTAGTGCTATGCAAGACTTTAGAGGAGCACGTTAAAAATTTCATGCACATGCTGCTTGCACTTTTTCATAAATTTGTTGTTTCCCTCTGTTTTATTTTATAATGCTGTAAGTAGCCATGATCACTTAGAGTGAGCAAACTGATGCAGGTATTTTGGGAGTGCAATCATTGTGCCATAGTTTGTAGCATAGCAAGTGTTCAGATGGTTGTTTGCTACTCACTCATTACCTAGCTACAGAGTAGTTCATAGAATAGAACTATTGGAAAGGTTTGATTTATGCACATGAAAAGCCATCTTTTTCTCTTATAACTGCTCTCTCGCCATTAATGCTTTACATCGTTTAACCAGACGATGGGTGCTGCAACAACTAATTCAGGAAAGCTCCTTGCCCAGTCTTGCAACTAAAGGAAACTTGGGAGCAGTACCTGTGGAGAGGATTCACCGACTAGTGCAGGAGGAAATGAATGTCTGCTCTGAAGCTGCTGGGAGATATCCAAGCAACTACAATGCCTGGTCCCATCGCATCTGGGTTTTACAACATTTGGCAAAACTCACTGTCAAGGTATAATACAATAGTGAATAAATTCTTAAATTTTCTTCTCAAAAAAGCTCTAATACTGGTTTGAAAAGAAGATTGTATAACATGAATGAAGAGTATCACAGGTAGCTAAGAATGTTTTAAGAAAGGGGCAAAATCTTGCAGTGAGTATATTTTGCATTTTTCTTGCCTGCATACAAAGTTCTGTTTCTCTCTTAGTACTTGGTGCTAATATATGTGTGGGAAGAGTACAGATGGGACTATGTGAGCCAAAATAAGGAATGGGCAACTCTTAAGTAATTCTTCCAGCACTAGTCTTGAAATTCATAGTAGAGGAAAAAGGTAATACATAACAGATATTATTTTGATAATGTAATATCAATGTTTCGGTGCCCTTAACTCAGAATTTTGAAGGACCAAGTAAAGACAGAAGGGATTTTGGAGAAAGCATAGTAGTGCTTGTAACTAATTTCTTCAGTTTCAGCAGTATTTTTTGACAGTATTTACACTGGGAGCTGATTAAACCATTTCAGGGACAGCAGGAACACTTTATGCCGTGTTGAATGTTTTGTGTCTAACATCAAGACCAGCAGCAAATTAAATTAGTTAATGTGATGTGATCTAAAATTATATAGGCAGTTTTGTAATACCATGTTTTCTGAGTGGTTAGGTGAATTCTTTGTGAGTATTAGGAGTGACATACCACTCACTTTTAAAGCAGCTTCTGCATTTTCCACATAAGGTTGCAAGGGAGGAATTTACTGGACACTGTTGAGTCAACATAGCCGTTATTTTTATGTCTTGTTTTACGTGTTGCAGAGACACGGCAAAATTTGGACTCATCTGCCTAGGAAGTTTATATGAAAAGGTAGTTTTCAGAAAACTCAGAAGAATTTCTGGATTCATATAGATTGGAGGTTAGAAGTTAGTGTTAGAAGTCTATATTAACAGAAAACAGGAACTTTGATATCTTCAAGAACTTATTAAAAGGTGAAGGGAGTTAGCACTATTAAAGAAAATTCAAGTCATTTTATGCCTTAAAACAAGTTCTAAACATCTCTGTGTTCATTATACTGGTAACAGTAGTTTGAGGATCAGGATTACACCTTGAGTGCTTTTTGTACTTGCTATTCCGTACCGATTTAAAGAAAGAAAAATAATTACATTATAATAGAAATAACTCTTTGCAGAACTTGAATTATTGTGGTGAGTTTATTCATTATCAGTTGTGAGTGCTTTTTGTGACAAATGACAAATATGCCTGTGAATGTAGCGTTTTAAATTTGTTTGACCATTCTAAAGTCTGTTTACTTTGTCTGCCATCTCACTTCCCCTGCTGATCTACTTTTTTTGGAATGAAGATTATGGAAGTGATACTTTTGTCTAGAGTTGTCCATCTGGTTTCTGTTACCTCTGGCAAAATTTCACTGGTAGTGTTGTTCCTCCACCAATGTGTTAAACCTGTTGGGAAGTGTCTGTGTTAGCTCTAGATTTTTTTAGGACACCACCAATGCACCTCATCAGAGGGCCTAGTAGAAGCTGTTTGGGATACAGGAAGATTAGGAAAAAGTGTAGAATGTAAAAGACAGCGAGAAACTCGTGATAAAACTAGGTAACTTTAAGAGGTCAAATTATACAGTGATTATTTGTGAGATATGATGCAAGTAAAAAAGCAAATAAGAAGGAGAACAAGGGAAAAGCAGGCATTACAGATTTTCACAAAAATATTCAGGTTCATAGAATCACAGAATGATTTGGCTTGGGTGGGATCTCCATCTCATTCCAACCACCTTGCAATTTGTAAGAATGCCACTCATTAGACCAGGTTGCTCAGGAGCCCATCCAGCCCAGCCTTGAATACTTAATGGAGGGGACAGTGGAGCAGTCCCAAGACAGAGTCCTGAGGGGCTCATCACCAGTCTCCGCCTAGACATAGATCTGTGGACCACTCCTCTCTGGCTACATCCATCCAGCCAGTTCCTTACCCACTTTATGGACCTTCCATCTGTCCCAAATTTGGAGATAAAGATGTCATGTGGAAACCATATTGAATGCCTTCCACATCTAGATTGATGACATCTGTTAGTCTTCTCTTGTTGACCACTGCTGTCACTCTGTCATAGAAGGCCACCAGATGGGTCAGGCAGGATTGCTGGCTGTCTTGTGTCACCTCCTTGTCTCGTAGGTGCCTTAACATGTCTTCTGGAAGGATCTGCACCATGATCTTGCCAGCCACAGAGGTGGGGCTTACTGGTCTCCAGTTCCCTGGGTCTTCCTTTTTCTCCTCTTTTCTCCAATTTTAGAAATGAGAGCAGTGTTTCCCTTTTTCCAGTCACTGGGGACTTCCCCTTACTACCATGACTTCAGGGACAGTGGACAGTGGTTTGGCAGCATGAGCCAGTTGTCTCAGAACTCTGTAACGTGGACCTTCAGATGCCATAGACTTGTGGCTGTTCAGCTTTCTCAAGTGGTTCTGAACCTGCTCTTTGCTTATAGTGGGAGGGAGTTAGCTTCCCGCACAAGAGTCTAGAGGATCAGGGACTAGAGAGAAGTGGGAGGGAGGCCTGATTGCCAGTGAAGACTGAGACAACAAACTCAGTATTTCGTCCTTTTCCATGTCAATTGCCTTTAGTTCTTGTTTATTAGGGAGCATACACTCTCGGTCTTTTTTTGTGACCTGTGTACTTAAACAGTCCCATCTTGTTATTTTTTGCACCTCTTGCCAAGTCCTGTCCAGCTTTGCCTTGGCTTTTCCATTCTTTGGAGGTTTTTTGCTTTGTTGATGTCTCATGTAACACCTTCAGCAATTTCTATATTTAAATACCTGAAAAGTATGATAAATATCAACAAGATGCAAGACTGAAACCATGCTGAAAAATTCACAGATAAAACAGTCACTGATTCTATGGCCATTTAGTTCTTGCAAGGTTGCCTGAAATTAAGGAGTACTTGTATTAATTAGGGCTGTATTTCTGCTGTAATACAAACTTTGCCTATAGTTTGAAGTGTACAAGGAAGCAGAGGCCCAGAAACATTAATTGTATGTTGTATTATCATTTAAATATTACTTGTCAAAATGAGTTTATTATTAACAAAGCTGTCAACCTGCTTTGAAGGATTTCAGGAGGTGGACTGGGTAATAGGATTTTGGTTATTCTTTTCCCTTTGATTTGATAATCCTAATGCTACTGCAGACTGAATCTCAGCTCAAGCTCTGGGAAAAAGATTTAAATGCTAGAGAAGAAAGTTTTGGCTCAGTAGGAAAATTAATCAAAGGATATAGATGTTTCTTCTTTCTTACACTAGACAGTCAAAAATATTATCTTCTTTCAATATAGAAGTTTCAGTTTGTTCTAGCTGCAGAATTTGAATGGCATTAGCAAGTTTATGTAGTATTTAAAATTGTTCATGAACATAAATCAAGGATTTGTCAAGAATAGATTGTTTGAAACTAATATATTAATTCTGGTATTGGCGTACTTGCCATGGAAAGCCCGATTTCAACTTTTTCACATGACTGTACAGTTAGTGGGGTTAGATCATGAGTTTCAGATACCTACTAAAAGGTGGGTGCATAATTAGTTAGAGAACTGGGGTAGGAGAGTAGCCGTATAGTCTTAAAATTCATGCACACAACCTTATGTTGTTCTTAATAGACTTAGAAAATTTTGAAGTTCAAAAGTTCAAAATACTAAGCTCAATTCTATGAAGAAAGGAAAAGCTGATCTTATGGTTTAAAGTGCAGATTTGGACATGGAGTTTTAACCCCCTTAAGAACCCTGTTTGTGGACTCTTATTTAATATTGCACTTCAGTTTGCTGGTCTCTAAAAGGAAGAATCTTTTGGCAAGATTTAGAAAAACATGATCACTATCTAGGGTAGAAGACACTGTTTTCATTGTATTTGCTCCAATTTATTTTAGAATGGATGCCCTCAAAAAAGCTGTATAGCTAGTCTTGTGTGTTTCCATGATTTTCTTTGGGGGAAGGTGTGGCTTTTGTGCTGCAGTATCTGAAAGAAAGACTTCTACCTATGAAAGTTGTTTGAATCACCTGGTCCTGCTAAGTGATATACGTAGCTTAGGAGAAGAGGTTAAAAGCAAGAGTATACCATAAGATTATTAAGATAACTTCCAAAAGTCTTTAGAAGTAAGTGAAAAGGGTAGTTTTGATCTCTTTGGATAGTTTAAGCTCCAGAGGAGAAGCAGTGTGAGGAAGGAGGTTAAGGCCTGTGAAAAAAACCAAACCAGTGGCTCTAGCAGAGAAAGCAAAGCATAGTAAAAGCTTTGTCTGGGAGCCAAACATGCATTGCTTTCCAGAAATTAATTTTGAAAGTTTAAAAGCACTCAGAATTAAGAGACAATTCACAGGAGCCAGAAGTGTTAAAAACAGAGCTACAGTTGGTTATGGTTGACATTTTCTCCTGGAAAATCAAGGTGCAAAATAAGTTTGGGTTTTTTTCCTTTTAAGCAACTCACTTACTTTCTGACACCCACAATCCACAGGGTAGAAAGTAAAATTCTTAAAGCTAATAGCGGTGTAGTTTGTGCCTTCTCTAAATAATATTTATTGCTATCCATTTTGAAGTTCTTAAACCACTGCTTATTTCATATCAGAAGTGGTTTCGGTTTTTTTTCCCACTCAGCTTGTGGGTTGGTTTCTGAAAAACTGCCTTGTCACAGTTTGGAAGAAGTTTTTATTTGTTTTCTGCAGGGATGCCAAGATGCTTTTCAGCACGTAGTAGAAAAGGCTCAGTAATAGTTCTTCTTTCTGTGTATTCTTAAACCATTACTACCGTGAAATCCCCAAAGAAGAGGTTACCTTAATACAAAAGCAGTAGTGGTAAGTTCCTCCTTTATACTGGTTGATAACTGTCCCTGCATTTTGTTTCAGGTTCTCCTTGATGAACTTTCATCCACTAAATATTGGGTATCCATGCATGTCTCGGACCATAGTGGATTTCATTACCGCCAGTTCTTACTCAGTTCCTTGATACACAGAACAGTGACTGACAAAAACATACAGGTAGAAAATCAAGTGGTAAATGAACAAAATCCTAGCCTTCAGAAGGACGAAGAGAGTGCAGGGACAGAAGCTGCGTGTGCAGAGGAGCAAAGCGTGGATCTTCCCCACCATTTAGATGAAGAGATGGAACTCTGCAGTGAACTGATTGATAATTACCCAGGGCATGAAACCTTGTGGTGTCATAGGTAAGAGGACTTGGTCAAAAGAGTTTCCTTCTGATTTGTGGATGATACTTCACATGGTATTTCCAAACAAATTGTTCTGGTTTTAGGAAGTACTACTCAATAAAGGATTTTTAAGCTGCTGTGTATTAAGCCTTTGGAAAATATTCAAGAGCATAATCAGAGCTATTGTGTGGGAAATTTGATTTGGCTTAAATATCTTCAGTGTAAGCTCTGCTTGTCTCTATAATTTGTGCAAGAGACACAAGATGCTAGTAGTAAACCTCCTTATACTTTAAATATTGAAACAACAAAAAATGAACAAAATGTCGACAGAAGATTGGGTGCAGAAAATGTTTGCTTTACTAGCTGGGTGCAGGTTCCTGACTAGGTAACAGGAGATTTGCCAAGGTGATACGGAGCACTTTCAAGTACTGTGCGCAGACACAGCAGATTTTGTGTCTGTGAGGGAAATCTGGTGGGATGGGAAATGGATTGAAACAGTTCAGCAGCAACAGCAAGTTATTTTCAGTGCATGACTTTATCTTTTTTTCTTTTCTATTTTTTTTGAAGAAGGTGTGTATTCTACCTTCAGCAGCACTTAAGCAACAAACTTCCTCTCATGAGTACAGCGGTATCATCTGTGGACAGCAGTGATGAAAGTCTGAGTAATTCCCACCACAGTCCTGCAACAAGTCACGTGGCACAAGCTATGGATGTTGATGGTTTGAATGAATCCAGCAGCAAACAAGGTTATACCCAAGAAACAAAACGCCTGAAGCGTGCTCCTGTGCAGGACTCTCTTGGTCCAGAAATGGAATACCAGTTTGTTGATAAAGTATTATCAACTTGTAGGGATGTGGACCAAGCCAGGTTTGCTACTGCTTATAGAAAATGGCTAGTTACTTTTTTAGGTCAGTGAAGGAAATGTTGAAAGCTTTCAGGGTTCTTCTCTTAGTGCAATATTCACTTTTCAGACACAAATGCATGTCTTGGTTGAAAGTGTTAGCTAACTCTGTGTTTCTCTCTCTTTTGATGGTCAGTCCTAAAGCTAAATTTCAGAGTAGACATCTGTCACTTTATTAAAGAACTGGCATACATTTTTATTAAGCAAATGGTTTTGTTACTTAATCTCTCAAAGAAATCACTCTTACCAGTTTCCTACCATGTAATCATCTTTTTTTTTTTTTAACTTCTGCATTGAGTTGGTCTCTAAATCATTTGAATTTAAAAAAAAAGAGGTAAAAGAAAAAAGTTTGAAATGCTTGTGAAACAGAGTTTCTGAAAAAATGGGAGAATCTATCAGTATCAGCTAAACTTGTTCCCAGTTTGTTCCTGTATGGCATCATGCTAATACCTTATTGGATCCAGACTATATTTGATGAGTGCTATTGTTTTTGTATAGCAGTCTTTGGTAGAACACCAGAATACAGTGTTTCTTTCTGAGGGCTTCAGTAACTGTTTTGGAACTGTGATGCCTTTTACTGTTTTGGTTTTTGTTTGCTTATTAATTGTCATGTTAGCTTAATAGGCAGGTCTATAAGGTTGAAATCTTGATAAGCAGATACAGGAAAATGTGGCAGAAAAAATAGTTTCAACCACAGTCAGAGCTGTATTTGGCTGTATTTGTCAATTTGTCTTAAAACTATGACTACTTAATCTCAACAACAAAATCACACTGATACACATTTCTGAATATCTTTTTTACAACTACAGATTCTCACACTGCCAAATCACACATTGTTAACTTGTACTTTATCAAGACCCTACAAGTCAATATTGGATGGAGTAAAACGTAGCTCTTCCAACTGATGATTGAGACTATACAGTTAATAAAAACAGTGACAGCAAGGAGGGAGCTAACCCTTCCCTTCTGTGTTTTTTTTCTTTTTTTTTTTTAAGAGCTTCAAATCTCTGTTGTGTGGGTTTTTTTTCCCAATTTTATTCTTAAAGAAGAGCTTCTACTCCAACCGTACATCTCTGTTTACATAACTGAAATTTTTAAGGGAATTTGAAATCAATTATGAATGGGTGTATTTGTAATTCCTTAGAATTGTCTGTAAAAGGGATTTTTACACTAGTAGAATTGTGCTGGTACACAGATCCAGGGAAAAGGTCCTACAGTAGAAGTCTATTACAGTTGACAACATCACCTCTTTTAAAAGCAGACTATTTTCTGAAGGGGATTAGATTTTCAAGTTAGTGTCCTTGCCATAATTTCTTTATTTGTCTTCGGCCCCAAATGCCTCTTGACCATAAGTTTAAAGATACTGTTTCTGTTGGGCAGAGAGAGAAACAATGAGGCAGGAAAAAACAGACGTAGCCTGCTCAAAAGGTATCACTTTGAATCAAAAAAACACTCAAAATGTGAAGTTCCTACACTTCTAAGTAGTTAGATGAATGGAGTTTACTCTTACATTTCAAAATGAAAAACAGGACCACCTGCAAGTCTTTAAGAGTATGTTCATGATTCATTTCAGGCACAAAGTAGCTAAAAATGACATTTTCTAAAAGCACACTGTTCTATTTACAGTACATAGATGAGACTATTCTAGGCTTGAGCATCTCCGTGTCAAAGCTTTGTTTCAGAGGGCATCCACACCTGCAGGTATATACTGGTATACGTAGGTATATGTCTTACATGGTCATTAGCTTTGAGGTGCTATGAGATGCTGTGGTGTTTTGGTGATGGTTTTAGTTGCAGAAGAACATAATTGTTGTCTAAAGGAGCCGTGGGATTGGCTTGAGACTACGATTTTGTCATAAGATGTTGCCTCAGTGATCACTGACAAATGGGTGGGTTCAAGTACAAACAGGAGTCTGAACTTAAAATTTCGCTTGAGCAAAGAACTTTTACACATCCCAAGGGACCTGATGTTGAGTGAATGCAGATGATACATTAAAGTATGTAATAGCCTCGGTTGGCTTGATTAACAGTATTCCCATTAATGACCCATATGAACCTGGAAAGTGTGAAGTCAAGGGGGGCAGTGTACTAAAGGTCAGGTTCTTAGTCTTAAATTACTTAGTAATGTTATTTGTGTGTTCTGTTTACCTTGGCAAAATTTATCTGTTTATGAGAAAAATATTAGTGATAGGAGCAATCTCAGAAGTGGGGGCATGATAGGAAACATTTCTTGACCTGTGGAAGGGAAGAGATTCTCTCTTCTTGCACTGGAAAGACCGAGGCTTTCAGAAGAAAATACTATTATTATTAGAATCTGACTTGAAACTTCTTCCAGACTATAATCTGGAGTCTTAGTTGGCATTCTCAGAGCTGTACTGTGGAAGTTCTGTGTTTTTGAACTTGGCATCATAAACATTTAAGCAGGTGCCCTCATATACATGTGTAGAGTTGTTATTCAAGTCAGTACAAGTGATGCATTCTTGCAGGATAACAAGATTTTGTCCTATGTAATTGAATAGAGTTGCATTGAATTTTAGTACTTGGAATATGTTCTGAGAACTCTGATTAGAGATGGTGCTGATATTCTTACTGGTTTTGTAAAACACTGATGGCTGTAGTGTAACTAATAAGTGTGGGTTTTTGAAGTCTGCACCTCATGGAAGTATTCCTCTACACTCTGTTTTTTAAATCCAGCTAGAATAGTTACATTTAGAAATGTTTGTAGACCCGAAAACAAAACAGTGAAATTGAAACAAGTAATTTATTTCTGTTTGAAGGAAATGCAAACAGTAAGTTGTTAAATTTGAGCTTTAAGTTTTTAGCAGTAACTATATAAATTATATTAAAAAGGAAAATAATATCTAAATTGCTTTGAACTGTCAATGTCCTGAAGCCTCTGCATGAATTGATTAAAGAGGTACTTCTAACATACTGTATTAAGTTCAAAACCGATGTGAAGTTCTGAAACTATGATCTTTGCAGCATACCTGTCTAACCACTTGGTGTTACTGCATGGTACCATCTGGGCAGTGCTTGAAAGAAAAAGTGGCTTTAGGCCACTGGTAGGTAACATACTGAGCGCAGCTACTTTACATAAGGCATTTAAGCCGTTTTGTGTTTCAGAGATCAAAGACTAATAAATTAGTCAGTGAACATTCCTGCAGAGAAAATGTCCAGCAGAAGCTGCAAAATTCAAGGTTCTCACTCTCTGAAGTTTCTTCAATTATAAAATCAAACTCTGTACATCTTTAAACATCTTAATGTAAAGTTCAGCATCTTTCCTGATTTTGTCTTCAGCTGTAGTATGTGTCATTTGAATTGATTCATTTTGTTCACTGGATTAGTCTTTGTAGAAATTTGTTTGTACTAGAAAAAAAGGGTTTTGAGGAACAAATGTAATTTAAAACTACAGAATTCGGAATAGAAAACCCACATTTAAAGTGGCAAATTCTCAGCTGCTAAATACAGTTACTGTTATTTCACTGGCATTATGTTTGTCTTGTGCATTACAGCTCTTGGAGAAACATGAAGCATTAAAGACAGCTACAATAACTTGTATGAAGTCGTTGGAATGCATTGTTATAGCTGCTCTGGTTAATATTCTTAATGTACTCATGTCTGCATATTTGTGTTTTATTGACTGCTTACATATTCTTTATACAACAAAATCCATGTGTCATTTAAATAGGGGATAAAGTAACTTGTCGGTTTATACTATTTGTTAATTACCTTGTATGTAATTTGCTTTAAAACAAATAAGCAAAGTGATAATATAGTGAGAAAGCTTAGATTTTTGTCTTATAATGGAAGTTTCTGGCATTTCCAGTTTTATTCTAGTGCTGCTTAGAATGTGTAGCTAGACTTTATGGATGGGAGTGATTTTTTTCCCTAAGTAGATAGTTAATGAATTTTTTAAACAGTACTGTGTAATATTGATGAACAGAAAGAAAGGGTTTTGGAAAAGTTTGTCTGCATAACCAGACTCAAAAAGCATACTTTTTTCAAGGACATATAATACACTGAGCAAAATGTGAGTACCAGAGAATAATTTAAATTGTGAGTCTTTAGAGATTTGATGATTAAATTTTTGGACAAGTTGTTTGCTTAGTTTTGTTTTGCCTTTTGTAAGGGAAGAATGCTTTTTGGTTTTTTTGGTTTTTTTTAATCCAGTAAGAAGTGAACCATTGCACTTAGAAAATGGGGAGAAAAGCCCACAACTGCTGAATTGTATCTCATAGAGCAATTTTGGAAAAAACAACGAACTGACACTGAAACATAGATGTCACTTCAAAATGCATCTTTGCACTCACTGGATGATGAGAGATACATGTAACTAGATCTTACAATTTTATCAGTGTCAGGTACAAAGAATAGTGTGTAACTCGCCAATTCTCAAATGCACTTAATATTCAAGTTAGTTTCTAAGGAAGTTCAGTGTCCCTGCCTATGATAATTTTCCCTGTGTACTCAGAGGTATCTTCCTTCTCTCTTCTTCCAACTAGCTAAGAAGAATCTAGCAAAGCATTGGTGAGGTGGCCTAATTTTGCGTTTGAGTAACTCTTACTACCTCCCAAAAAGTACTTTAACTGATGGCCATAAGTGGAGTTCATCAGGCTCAGTTATTTCAAAACCTCATGCTAAGCCTAGATCCTCTTTCAGACATGAAAAGCGAGAGCTTTATCAACTAATCTATCAAGTTTTCCGGGGAGAATTTGAAGGAGAATGGAAAAAAAAATTGTAGTTAGAAAAACTAGAACTAGCATAAATTTTCATTTGTCTTTTCCTCTGAAGAAATAACTCTGTTGCTGAATAATGGAGGAAATATGCTTCCAAGGGATTCCATATATTACAGTTTTGAACTGCAGACCTGATACTTCCTAGTGGCTTTTGCTTAGTATATAATGTTCCTTCTCAGGGCATAGTCTATTATAGTGAATTAGGGTGCATTTTTAAAGTTTATAATTATTGATTAAAAAGGAAAAAAAAAAGATAATCATGTAACTGGCTTTTAATTACTTTTTTTTTTGTCTAGCATGGTATTTTATAATCTACCCACATGCCAACATTGTACCCAGCAATGTACAGTAGGCCTCACTATCTCATCTGCTTCATACTGTTATTCTGTTGAATTGCTGTTGCAGTCTTGCAGGAAGCTCCTGACAGTTGTTGGTTTTATTCTCTGAGTTTCCTAGTAGTATTCAGTAAAGTAGTTAGTATTGCAAATTATGTTGTAATGATGGGGAAGGTTTTTACAGCATTTGTGTTGATGCACTGTAAGTCTGAGATTCAATATTTAAAAACCTTTTGTTAGGATTCTGAATGCTAAATTTTTTTTGATGGCTGTCAGATGCTTACATGCAACAGAGTTATTCTGGAAAACAGAACTCTTAACTGAAGTCTGGTTTATTAAATGTCTTTTTCTGCACCATCTGGAACCTGCTGTACATCATGCTGTATAGACAGAGGTGGGGAGAGTCCACAGTGAGGTGCATATTTTCTTCACGAGACATTTTCTGATTGGAATATAATTATGGTTAAACAAAGAGCTTTTCTTGGATGAGATGCACCTGTCTGTTCATTGTGAATAAATTTATGAAATTGGTACATCATTAATATGGTAAGATTTGCTGAATGGCTGCATGTAATGAGTAGATAAAAAGAATGTGGTTTTTTTTTTTATCTGCTGTTAAAAAAAATCACATGAATGATACAAGGTACTAGAATATGTTTTTAGAAAGCAAAATGTACCTACTGTGTTCATTCCCTTTTGTACGAGTTTTTCTTTTTGAAGTAGCTACATTTAAAACTGAAAGGTGTACTTGGGAACACACTTAACTTCATATAATCTCATTATTTTCATATAATCAAAATAATAGATGTCTTAAATGTTTTGAAGTAGCATTAAGATCCAAGGTAGTGACAGCACTACAGTGTTCAAGTGAGCCAATAATCTCTAATTTTGTAACATTACTGTGTTCATCAAAGTATTATTCTATGTAGGGAAATGTTTATTTTATCAAGATTTGTGCAGAAATGTTTAATTCTCATAGCTTTCTTATTAGGGGATATACAACTAGTTTTGAACATAATATTTTTCAATATTTTTTCTATGAAAATTTCTCAGATGCACAGTTGTGACCATTGTAAATCTTATGTAGATTTTCAAGATGAATTAGATAAATCATAAATTTTGTAGCACAAAGACTAAAAATATGACAGGACAGTAAGACTCTAAAAAATAATCTGCTAAATGACCAGTGTTCTACAGGATAGTGAATGTAAAGCATAAAGTTTGTTTTTCGCTGGTCTTTGTCATAGGATGCATTCCTGTCAGATGGGGATTATTGTCTTTTTGGTTTTTTTTTGGGTTTTTGTTTTTTGGTTTTTTTTAGTAATCAGTAGAGAATTTATCTGTGAATAAATTATCTATATTTATTTTCCCACAATAAGTCTGCATATATGTGTGAGTGGATGGATGGTGGAACTGTAATTATGTCCTGTGAACTCTGCAAAAATCATCTACATTTGGCTATCTCCTGACACACTCTGTATGGATGACTTGTCCGGAGTCTTGAGTCTAGCAGGGTCAGTGCCAGGTTGTCTGTTGAAACCAGTGACATCTGTTGCTTCCCCTCTCTGTCTTAATCTGCCTGATTATCATTATACTTAGGCAAATGCCTGCACACACCAACCAAATCATTAGTGGTGGTGTTTACTCCAAGTGCTTGTAGAGAGTATTTGAGACTGTGAAAGAGTTTGTAAGGTCTTGCAAGCTGGGAAAATTTGGGGGTGCTCAGCCAGTACCCAGGGGATACTTTTCACAAGTCCTCTGGAAAGGAAATGGACAGCCATGTTTTGGATGAGTGCTTTAGCATCACAGGAGACTGAGAAAAGTACAACTAGTGACTTAAATTGTGTTTAAAAACAAACAAGTAGTCTTTTTGGTACTCTATTTTCAGTATTTTTCTCACGTTCTTTTTGTAAAAATAAATCATATAAAATATTCTCAGAATTACTCTTCATTTTGAGTATCTTCTGATTTTGAATTATTGGATTTGAGAGCTTTCCTTAAAGGAAGCAATTTTACTGCAAATGCTAGCACCTTTCCTGTTTCCTCTTAGACAATGTGATTCATTGCAAGTCTTAGAAAATGAGCATCTGAAATCACAAGGTGTCACTGAAAGTATTGTTTATTATCCTAAATGCAAAGATTAAAAAAGCTTCTCTCATATACTTTGTGTTCTTTTTTTCATTTTCTCTTACTAGCTGCTAGGTAGAAAGAATATGTAAGGAAGACCACAGTCAATATGAGCAATCTTGACTTACTTAATTTGGGTGTTCATTAGTTCAGTAAGGAGCAAGTAATAAACCCACTAGGTTCCGTGTATAGAAGTAATTTGCAGGATCTAATTATTTGTTTGTGATCTGAATGCTTTACTTTACGTCTATTGAAATGAGTTTTGAAATTCCCACCAACTTCATTGAGATCAGGCCATGCTGTGGAGAGAGTTATCAGCCTCCACCTGATAGCCATGACACATTTAGTGTGATAAATTGTAAGGGACTTGTTTGTCTTTCACAAATGGTTGTGTTTATGGCTTCAGTTAAAAAAAAAAACCCAAAAAACCGTTAGTATAGGGTATAGTCCTTATCACTGTGGAAAAGGAGACATTAAGGTTATGGAATGTTAGAGGTTTAAAAGGGTAGCTAGAGAAAAACTAAGGGTACTATAGGGTATCAGTAGCTAAGGAAGCTTCCTTTTTCCCTCTGTTTTTCCCCCCCCTCTATTCTCTCCTCTCTCCCTCTTTCCTCCACCTTCTGCCCCAGCTCAAAACTCCCCATTCTCTCCCCTGCTTTCATAATTTTTCATCTTTTCTAGTGGCAGACAGTTTCATACAATATGCCTGTATGCAAACCAGGATAACACTAGTTTTGGAAGTATTGCATATCAATACCAAATAGATACCAGTGCTCAAGGTTTGTGCAAGATATTTAGGGATGACTGGTGAGGTTTTAAGTGCTGTGTGGTAACTGATGCAATATTGAACAGGAATGTCTTAATAAAGAGTGGATGGTCTGAGTGTTGCTGTTCTCCAGGTGTGCTGTCTGCATTTATGGTCAACAGTAAACTGCACATTTGTCATCCTTCCATCTCCACAAATGCTTATCACTACCTAACAGCTAATCTACTTTGTAAAATGCATCTATGTAATGTTGATTTGAGAAGTTCTGCAATTATTTGTTGTCATCCAGTACTAGATGACTTCCACCATGCCTTTAGTCCTCCTTCATTGAAACCTGGCCAAGTATAGATTTTCATGGCTAATACATCTGGTTTTGCTGTGAAGGATATTTGAAATTCCACCATATAAAACAGCATTTTCCTGATGTCTATTTAGAAACACAGAAGGGCATTGTGGCACTGTTTTCCAGTTGCGCACACTGAGTTTTACCTTGTTTATCTCAAATATTTTTTTGCATGTTAATTAAATTTTTGCATATTCTAGTAGTACAAAATGACCTACAAAATAAAAAAGAGCACCCTTAGAGTTCTAACTATCCTATGCAGATGTCTTCCAAAATTTACAGGTATAATTTTAGTGGTGGTGGTTGGTAAACAGATTTTTTTCACTTATTTATCAGCAGACTTGTTTTTATATGTATTAGTGACAAAATGGACTAAGCACTGCTGTAAGTTATTGTATTTCTGTAGAAAATGGAAAATAGTGTAATATTGTTTTTGTTAAATGTTGGCAGTTTATAAATAAACTTTTCATCTCCTAAAAATACTTTGTTTTCTGACAACACTGAACTCCATTTTCATTCACTGTGCAACAGAGAAAATTACTGGTAATGTCTTGGGTGATACTCTACTTTTGACAGGAGCTTCATCTTCTCTTGTGAATTAGGTGAGGATAAGCAGACCAATTTTTGCTTCTTTTAAACACTGACACTTAGGCCTTTTTCAAAAGCTTTCCTGGGTCTTTGTTCAAGCTTAATTTCTAAAAGGATAGAGATGAGCAGGGGTTAGTTCTTTACAAGGTACTTATTTCTGGCAACAGACAGCTGGCTATACTGTTTAGAATTGCAGAACTTGGACAGCTGGTTGCTGCTTATATTTCTTTAACTTTTTAAAATTTCAGTGTGATGTTCTATGATGTGCTTGCCTTTTTTAATATCTGGAAGCAACCAGAAGAGCCTGTGCTAGTCTTTCCAGGTTTTATAAATTCCTATGCTGTTACAATTGAAGGGAAAACATTTCACAGATATTTAAAAGCAGGTAATTGATCTCTTGTGTTAAGAAAATATACCTCCTTTGATTCATATTAAAGGTAGATGTAATATAGAAGTACTACTATACATGGTACTTTGATTCCAGTTGACTGCCTTTAGAACATAAATTGTGTTCTATAAATTTTATAAGACTACCTGAAGAACAGCCCTCCCTAATCTGACCCCAATCTGAATTGTATGAAAAGGTACTTGAGATATGCTCATTATTTTTGTAAACTTTCTAATTATTCACATACAAATACATTAATAGCTGGATCAATAGTGTTGATCTGCAGTCAAGCTCTTCAAATAGTATTCTACTTCGTGTATAGTTCTATGATTTCATTTATGTAAAGTTGTTAATTTTTTGGCAAAATGGACTTAGACATTTAGATCTTTTTCATAGACTTGAGTGAATGCTGCAGTAAATTTGCTTCTAGTCCTTGTATTTCAAGGCAATCAGTAGCTCTATAAAGAACTTTCATTCCAGCTGTAATCCAAATAATTCCAAGGTTCATTTTAATAATGTATTTAGTTACTAAATATCAATATAAAATAACATTGAACTATCAGAGCATGTCGTTTGGATTGGGTTTTTATTAAGCAGTGACACTGGGATATTTCAATGTAATGGCATATGAAAAAAACTCTTTAAAATTTGAGGGTTTTGTATTTCATGTATATTATAAAGTGTGACTGGAATCATAGGTCCAATATTTCTCAAATTTACTTAAGGTTTCCTAGGATTGTCTTATTTTGGTATCTTGTTCAGATATGCAGGGAAAGAGGTTAAAAATATGTCTGCATGGTCATTCTCTTCTGCTTGCACTTCGTAATAATTATCTGGTCTCTGACACAGGGCTTCAAGTCTTCTATTGTTTTCTAGTTCCAGTAAGTCTAAATCTTCCAGAGCTACTAATCCCCCTTTAGAACTACTCCTTTAGAATTCCTTTGCTGGATACCAGAACCTGGTGTCTGCTTTTCCAGAAATGTGGAGTATCTGGCTGTTAACTCTGTAGTCTTCTTGGGCTTCTACACCTCTGAAGTCAAACCATGGATTCATCACTTCCTCTGTAACCAAACAGTTGAAGCACTTGGAGAACTACTTTTGTGCAGTGTCTGGTAAAGAGGTAAAAAAAGAAAAGTGGAAGTGTTATGTCAAGTATCGGTAGAGAGTGCATAAATTTGTGCGGCAGAGTATGGAAAAAAGCACAACAGAAACTGTTCTTTTTGGTTTTTGTCTGAGTTTTGCTATTACCTCCATGAGCTATGTCTGACAAGCTGGGAAAGCAGTTCCTGGAGGAAGATGACAGCCTTTGGAGGGTGTCGTGATTTGACACTGGCCCAAGATCAGGCACCCATGAGAGTGTCTTGCCACTTTCCCCTGCTACAGCTGGGCAGCGGAGAGGCTGCAGGCATGGATCCCCATGAGCTGTGGGTGGATCTCTGCATCCCCCATGGATCCCCAGGAGCTTCAGGGGTGCAGCTGCTTCACCATGGTCTCACCACAGCCTGCAGAGGAATATCAGCTCTGGAGCCTGGAGCATCTGCTGCCCCTCCTTCTACACTGACCTTGGTGTCTTCATATTGTTTCCCTCACATGTTCTCACTCCTCCTCTTCTCTGACTAGAAGTAAGACTCTGTGCACTTGGTTTGATTTTCTTCTTAAATATGTCATCACAGAGGAGTTACCAGTCTCTCTCATTGGCCCAGTTTTGGCTAGCAGCATGTCCATTGTCAGAGCCATCCGGGATTGGCAGTAATGGACATGGTGGAAGCTTCCAGCTGCTTTTCATGGGAGCCATCTTTGTGTCCCCTCTACTATCAAAAACCAGGTCATGCAAAACCAATACAAAGGACAAGTGTTTTTCAGATTCTGAAGTGGAGTGTTCACAAGGGAAGTGGGAAATTTTCTATTTAATATGAGACAGGGTTTTTTTGGTTTTTTTTTTTTAATCTTGAATATATTCTCAACCCTGGCATATCCTCTAGGGTTTTGTTTGTTTGTTTGTTTGTTTTTGTTGTTTTTTTTTTTGTTTTGTTTTTTTGTTTTCTGGGGTTTTTTTATGCTGAGGTACCCTTTGCTATTGTCTTATAGCTCAAAAGATGAGGATAACAAGGATTTTTTAGCTGTGGAACTTTGAAGTTTTAATGGTCTTGCTTTCTTTCACCATATAAATTTGCTTGTTTAAACAGAAGTATTAATCTGCCTCACACCTCTGTCTGATTAGGAAAAGTGATAAGAGTGATATAATGGAAGTTGCGCTTAGTGATTACATTAGTAATGGCAGTGATTACCAAGTGGAGTCAAACAGAAGATAGGAAGAGAAAGATCAGTCTTGGCATTATCATTATCTACTCTAAAACTAAAAACCTACATCTTTTAATACATGCAGGCATGAAGCAAAGAAAAACTAAATGGTATCAGTTCTTTAGCGTCACACCAGGTTAGCATGTCTGGGTATGCATCTTTAGCTGTATGGGTCTTAACTGCTTTAAGCCAGTGACATTTCTCAACAGTTCAAACAAGCTGGTGAAGCCATGAAAATTTAGTAGCCACCGATAATCTGTTGATCTTAATTTCTTTCCTCATTGGGGTGTCTTTGCTACTGAAGGACAATATGGCTTTTTCTTAGGAAACAGGGAAGAAAGATCTCTCTGTGCATAACTGCTGTCTTTACAAGGTGCTGTCTGGCTGAGTTTTATGAGTAAATTGGTCCCTTTTGTACCCTTTGCTGTCTACCACTGTCCACTCTTCCCCATCCCCACTCCTGCTAATCCTTCACGTGTCTGCACAGGTACACCAATTGCCTTGGACACCCCGGACCCTTAGGTTTGCATCCTCATTTCGAGTTTGGCTGTGGTTTTTTAATAACCTGTCATTTAGGTTTTTTTCTTGTCTTTGCCTCTGTTAGTTCATCTGTTGTGTTTGTGTCTCTCTGCTGGGTTTGTTGCTCCCCCTTTACTTGTTATGCCCTTTGGTATTGAAAGGTCCTTGATCAGATACCTATAAGTGAGCAGATACTCTCTCCCTATACATACCCTTGCACAAACAGGTTTGTTTCCAGGAAGACTGAAAACCTTGCTTCAGTGTAGTTTGGGGTTTTTTGGTTGTTTTGTTTGTTTGTTTGTTTGTTTGCTTTTTGTGGTTTGGTTGTTTTTTTTTTTTTTTTTAATCCCATGACAGCTAGCTTTACTCTTTATTTTCTGAAGCCTTTTCACTTTGACTGGAAAAGTAAAAGCTTTCAAAAAGTCCTCAAATGAATAACTTTATTAGGTCCTACAGTCCCATGAAACACAGACTGTTCAGTTGGGTAGTGCTTGAATTGAATTAATACAGAAATTAAAATTCACTTTCCATCTGTTCATGAGATTCGAACAGTAGTTGCAGTTTTCCCTGTAAGATAGTGTAATGACAAAAACAAAGGGAAAACTGCAAGTACTACTTAAACTGAGTAATTAGAGGAGAGGGTGGCAGAGCTGAGAAGTAGTTTCTAAGTGACTGTAATGAGGATGGAGAGGGAACAACATGAAACCCCTTCTGTCTAGAAGGACTTTGGGTTGTCTTGGTCAGCAGTTGGTCTTCAACTGATGAAGAGAACATACTTGCATTAATTAAGTGTATCCACTAGATTAAAAATAGGGATGCAGACTTAAATGTACACAGCAAGTCAAAGCTGGCTGCACTGAGTCATAATTAGGAATATGAAAATGAACTGGGAAAGTATCAATTCTTTGCTATCCCTGCTACCAGGACTAACCAGTGCAAACTTACCAGCTTACAGGTTAAACTGCCAGATTGCACAGGAACAGAAATTAGCACTGGAACAACCTGTTGATGAGTCTGGACACTGAGGAGAGAGAAGGGAAGATGCCTATCTCCATTTCTCTCTGATTAGGGGTTTCCATAAGAGAAGCAGAAATACAAAATTTATCTTTCTTTACATTCAGAGGGCAAAGAAGGGGATGAGACACCTCCTGAATGTATACAAAAGGTAATATGGGCTCACCACCCCAAAGGAAAGTAACACAGAGCATGAGACACCTGCTTTACCACTGCGCAGAATGGGCAGACAGACCTGCTTGTCTAGAAACCTCAAGGCTGATATACTTTGTGAAGGATAAAAGCTACTTTATGGCTTCTGTGAGTCTGGCTATGTCAGTGAAGTTGAGCCTTCCTATGTCTGGTAGATACATATAGTAACTAGTTTGCAAGATATTATCATACTTCTTTTTATCTCCATTTTTTTATTTTCTGAATCAGTGAATATAAAATATAATCAAAGATAAGACAGAAGTAGCATTTACAGAATAAAGTGTTGATTTCTTCCAATACTACCTTAAAGACTACACCTCTCTAAGTGATAAAGAAGAGCATCCTCCTTGTGCACGTGGAGATTGCAGGAGTGCTTGGAGGTTATATGAAGGTATCATTCCCTGGCATGGAAAATCACTGCCTGTGGAACCTAAGTGTTTCTTATGCTGCTAAGGAGTTACAGACAGATTGGATGAAGGCACAGTGAATTTTTTTATGGGAAGTCAGAATAGTTGACAAAATTGGATTTTTATGCTTGAAAACCATAGACCTGATTCCATGCTGTTCACTTAGATATTTCAGACCAAGCAGCTAGTAAAGAAGACAAGATGGTTGAGTCTGGAAGATACTATTCATAAAACTGGCTTTCTTTAGTTCAGTGATCCAGTACCAGAATTTGAAAACATTTTGATTTCTGAAACCCGCCTATTTCAGTACCACCAAGCACCCCTGAAACAGCCTATTCTCTTCTAGCAACAGGTGATGCTCACACCACTACAGTCAGTGATTAATGCTTTTTAAGATGTGAAAGCTGACCTTAAAAATGTCAAGCTTGCACTGTTCTTTTAGTCTGTGAGAGCTGTTTTGCTTTTGGCCCAAGCCTGAAAATAATATCACACAAAGCTAAGATCATTGCAATGTCTAGTTCCTGAAAATACATAGAAGCTGACTGGATTAGTAAACTAATGCAGGAAAAATGTGTCTGAACTGCCAGGGCCAAAGCTTTTATCTAGGCTAATGGATATATAAACAGCAACACCCCCTCCTTCCTCCTCCCTCCCCCCCCCGTGACCACCCCCCCCCCCCCCCATATAATGAAAAAATGGGTTCAGTGTAAATAGTGCTTTTTACCTAGCAAGATTCTCCGAATATGCCAGAAGCTGGCTGCTACGTATTTGTCACTGATTACTACAGCTTCTTACAAAGCTGTCACCTTCAGAAGGTTATAATTTAATATCCAGCAGACAGTGTTGATTCAACTGCAGTGCTACTTGATTTTATAAATGTTACAGATTAGTCTTGGTGATTTTCCTACTGGTTTTTCAGTTGGTTTTAATTTTCTAGATTGAAATTTCACTAAATAATGATGATAATGAAAACAAGAGCCTGAAGGTTAATGCAGCATTAACAATACTAATACTGTTGCATTCTAGCAGTGTCTGTTTCTTTGGGTTCACAGACAACTTGTGTGCTAGAAGAACTGTCATCATGGGCTGTGAAGCACAGGCGTTAGTTGGAGCTTTGTGAGAAAAATGCGTTTAGGACATGAAACTTCTCTAGGATATAATTTAGCAGTCATTGAGACTGCTGTTGGTAGTATTTTTAAACTATAGAAATATAACAGTAAAACGTAGGTCGGAGGGGACCCCTTGAGGTCACCTGAGCAAACGTCTCTCTTAGAGAAGGACAAGTTTAGATCCCATTCGGGACTAACTGCTTCATTATTTTAAGAGGAAGAACAGGGGGAAGGAGCTTGATTGCAAGTTAAGTGTTTTGTCTAACGAAACTCTCCAAGAATGGATAGTTTTGGAAATCTGTCATGTGTATTCTGTACACCTTAAGTCGTGGTAGCCCGGAGTTATTCCAGGGCCATATATGCAGGACATAGCAAAGAAGAATGGAACAGACAGGGCCTCTAGGCTTATTTGTTTTTGTAGGTTCCTCCAGAACAGGATAGAAAACCAGTGATGAATAGAAACTGTTCCTAGAAGGGAAAGAAATGAAGTGTTACAATGTATTAAAAACAAAGGAAGAGATTTTGGTAGCAGTTGTCTAAATAATAAATTTGTTTAATTCACTTCTTCATTCTTTTAAACATATTTTTTCATACTCTCATTTTTGAAGTCTTCATTTGGAGAATACTGTAGCATTTTGGCATTGGGCGTTTAAACATGTGGCTGTGCAATAAAGAGTGACTGAACTATATTGTAACAGGGGAATAGGTTACCGCGAACCAAAAAGTATCTATCACCAGAAGGGGGGAAACAGATTTAAATCCAAACTAACACCAAGTTATCACAGTAATTAGTTAGAAGCCTTTACATGAAGGTTACTTTTGATAGTTTGCAGTGGGGTTTGCCTGAACACTTCACAGATGTTTAACACAATGTGTTCCCTAAAATGATAAATTAACAATAGTGTCAGAATGTACCAATTTAGGTTGCCAATACTACAACTTTTAATCAGTTGCTAGGTTTTTTAAAGTACCCTGGCATTTTTTTTTTTTATGAAAAACTGGTAGGTATCAATCTGACTGTGAAAAAGAAACTGTATTTCTTCTGATAGTTTATTTTGTTTAAATACGATAAAACGCAAGACACTATGTGGAGGAGTTTAGGATATTTTCTGCGTGTATGGAGTCGCTGAGGCAGTTAACTACAGGGAGAAGGAGCTTGGAGAAGGTATGAGATACTTTACAGCTGGGATATAGATGCACGCTAAGGTCCAACGCTGTGTTTGTGTAGGTGAACACGGGTGTAGTATTTTGGGAAAGAGGCACTGCCAAGCCCTTTCTAGCATAGCAGTAAGCCTCCATGCAGGCTGCATGCACAATTTGGTGAGGTGTACTGCACCTCGGTCGTTGTAGCTACCCCCCAGGTGAGGACGACGACCGGGGCCCGCTCGCAGCAGCGATGAGGTTGCGGCGCCTTGGCACACCCACCCTCACACCTCCTCCTTGGCGGGGGGGGCCTCCTCCCTCCTGGGCCACCTAGGGGCCCGTGTCCAGGGAGGTGAGACGGACAGGTCCGTGCTCTGCAGGGCGTCCCTCGCTCCGAGCTGCCCGGGGGCCGGCAGCCGGTCCGGAGAGCGCCGGGCATGTGACCGGTGAGGGGCCGGGGCCGCGCCGCCCGCACGGCCGCGCTCCGCTGCGCCGGGAGCCCCCGGAGCAGTCCGGCCGAGCCGCGCCGAGCCCCGGCCCCGCCGGGCCGGCACCGCCCACACCCGTGGGGCCCGGCTCCCGCCGGGAGGCAGCGGAAGGAGGGAGGGAACGAGAAGGCGCGCTGACGCGTGAGGGCGGTGCGGCAGGAGGGGCCGGCCCGGGCGGTGCTGGCGGCGGCAGGAGCAGGAGGAGGAGGAAGAAGATGGTGGCCGCTGGACGAGCGGCTTGCTGCTGGGCTTTCCGCCCTGCGCTGCATCGCCACCCCCGTCGGAGCCACCCTGCCTGCTGAGGAGGCGGTGCGGACCCGCATCAGGTGCGGAGGGGAGCGGTCGGGAGCGGTCGGGGGTCCGGCCGGGCCCCTGCCGCGGCGCTGATGTCGGGGAGGCAGCGGGCCCTCGGGGCGGGTGCCCGACACCGCGGGATGCTGGCCCAGTCCCGCCCGGCGGCTCCTGCCCGCAGCGGGGTGCGGGCGCTGCGGCGGCCTCTGTCCGGCTGCGTGGGCGTGCGCATCTCCGAGCCAGCGGGGCAGCTCTGCACCTGCCCCGCGCTGCGGAGAGCGGCGCCAGCGCGGCCATGACTGCCTCCATCCCGGCCTCCGGCGAGGCGTTGCGTGCTTGCCCTCTGTTTATTTATTCCATTATTTTATTTGGTGGGGGTGGGATGTGTCTAGAATAATGCTGTGTGGAGCCATGCATACCCCAGTGCACGGATTTGCTGGTTTTTTGGGGGTTTTTTAGATTTTTTTTCCCACGCACACCTTTTCTATGGTGGAAAGGAGAAATGGGGGGCGCAGGTGGGAGGGGGCAATGTGAGGATTTCGCATCCGGCGATCGAATGGTCGCCGTCGCAGCAGGACGGTCTCGGCAGCCCCTTCCGTCGGGAGATGCTGCCGAGGTCTGCGGCCGCGTCCCGGTTTGCAGCAGGGAAACCAACGGGGACCTGGATCTCCCCGTCCTCCCAAGTGGAGCGTGCTCTCCACCCCTGGGCTGGGGGGAAGGTGACATCTGCTACCTTCACGTTCTGGTTTCAGGAAAAGGAAGGTGGTTTGATTTTTTAATTTTTTTTTTTTTTTTTTTTTTTTCCCTCTCCAGGAGAAGCTGTTTGATAACAATGATTGCCTGAATCACAGTCGTGGCCAGTGCAGCCGTATGCATTACATCTGCTTTCTGTAAGGATCAGAGTCAATAGGAGCAGTCTATCAAGACTTGTTTTACTGCTATCATAAATCTCCTCTTTAAGAGAGATTAGGCTGTGGGTCTAGGGTGGAAAATTATATCTTTCTGCTTTCTCCTGTAGATTTTTTGGGCTGTGGAATTGCAGTTTGGTTTAGAGAGTAAATTGCAGATATGGCTGTTTTCATAGCTGCTGAGGAGCTGGAAGGCAGAGATATTTGCCTGACTCTGCATACATTAAGAGTGAGCTAATGTGGGTGTAGGGCAGATCAGCCATGTAGCGTTTTTCTTGTCTTTGACATGCGTCACGTTACACCAGCTGATAAGAGTACACCCAGATGGCTGCAGTTTTGTGTCTGCTCTGCAGCTGTGGCCCATGGGGTCCCAAATAACTTGCCAATAGTCCGGTCATAGTACTCTAGGTTCTGCTGCATTGCTTTTAAATCTGGACCACCTGCACCTCCCTTTGCAGCCCATATCAGGAACAAGCATGTGATGTCTATTCTTCCCAAAAGGTGATGGTGACATAGAATGTCTATGTTCTCTATGTGCTACCAAATCAAAACTGAGGTGCGTGTTTACCTTTGTGTCTAATGCTGTGGGAGGAAGGAGCAGGATAGACTGTCCAGAAGTGCTGTTCAGGAGGAAAGGAGAACAGTTACTGTTTAATTCTGTGCATTCGTGCGTGTTTGTACAGAAAAATTAAGTGTCAGGTGAATAATAAGGCACGATCACAAGAAACTCTGAAAAAGCAGAACATTTAGTGTTGTAGTGCACCTTAGATGAGTGCTTTGGATGTTTAATGAGTGAAATGTAAACCTTAGCGAAAGACAGCTTACCTTCCTTGGAAAATGTGGTCTGAGATTGGTATATCAATGAGCTTTTAGGCCAAACTGATTTCTACAAAGTAATGGTAGTTCAAGGTTGGCCGAGTACTGTGAATCATGTAATTCATTGCTCTGAGTTTTGGACATTTCTAGTTGTAGCTTAAAATGATACTTCTATTTTACATTAGTGCATTATCTTCCATTAAAATGGCAAACTTTTTGGTGATTATGCTGTCTTTTAACAGATGCAAGGCCAGCCTATCGAAAGTATTTACAGATTAGCTCTTCAGTTAAAAAAATGCAAGAATGCTGGGAAGGTGATTTGATACATCTAGGTACATAGAAAAGATAGTTTTGGTGTGTTAAGAGGGAGACATGCCAAAGATATTGAGTAACCCATTTGGTTACTTAATTTGAAATCCTTTTCACAATTTTCCTGAGTTGTTAATTTAATTCTCAATCCTCTGTGTATGACAAGTTTGCAATTTCATATCTGTTGGGAAGGGAATGCATTCTGGTATTTTTTTTTGTGGGTTTTTTTTTTTTTTGTGGTTTTTTTTTTTTTTTTAAATTTAATAGAATTGCCTTTGTGTATTTAAAAAATGAGAGCTAATGCTTTAGAAGAAATTTTGTGATACAGGATGTAGTGGCATCGTGGATGCCAAAGGTGAGAATCTTGGAGTCCGCCGTGCGCTTTTTATTTCCGGGCAGGGAATGTGGGTGTAGGTTTTTGAAGATATAAAACATCTTATAAATCTGAAGATTTTGTTTTCTCTGTGGTAATGTAAGTAATCCATAACACTTTGAATAAAGGGAGTACTAATTTTGAGGCTAAAGTTGATCTATCTAAATAGGAACTCTTTGCATATGAGATTTGAATGGATTTTAATTGGACCAGGAGCTGGCTTCTAACTTCTTTGATACCATTTTAACCCACAGTCATATGCAATCCTTATGTTCTTAAACTTAAAAAGCCTTCAAGATGAGGACTGTCCATCTTTGAAATGCAGATAACATTTCTTTTTATAAGCAGTGCTTATTAGCACTACAGCCAGCAGAAAATTCATGAGGGTAAAACAAAATGCTGTTCAGCTGCTTGTTTTGTATTTTTAACAGGCCAGCGTGGCTAGTCATTTGCAGTGGTTTTGTTTCTTGTCTTTAGATTCTGTCAGTGTGTGGTAATGTTTATGGCAAGCAAAAGCAGGACATACTAATTATAAGTCCAGAAAAGGTGGCAGGGAAAATAAACACCATGTTGCTGCATGTATGTGAGTTCAGGATTAGTAACAAAAACAAATGAACATGCTAAAAAGACAAAAAAGGAATTATAATATAAAGTTCAGTCTTCAAACAGACTAATGAAAATGCAGGAAAAACCAAGCTGAGAGCTAAAACTTTTCATTATCTCATGGCCTAGATACTTCAGATTCAGCATTTTTTCCCCTTGGCACATGAATTGTCGGTTATTGATCATAGCTGCTCTGGATTTACATGAGATTTTGAATTAAAAGAACCAGACATTTTTTCTTAAGATCTAAAAAAAGATTATTAAAAATGTAAGAGGTGCTTCAGATAGTTTAATACATGTTGTCCATGGCCAGTGCAGCTTGATTGATTACATCTTAACTTTTAAGAAGATCTTATTGGCATAGGCTTAAGTGAAGCCTTGATAAATGCATTTTTAAATGCGTTTTTCTGGTTTCCTAGAAGGTGAAGATTCCTTCTTAACGAGAGTTCTAGCAAACAGCCCTCTGCTCATTTATTTCCAATAGCTTGCCAGTAATGCATATTTTGTAGGGGTTACAGGTTTCTGAGAAACAGAGTGATTGGTTTTTCTTCATAATAATGATTGATTTGGTAAGTCAGGTACTAAGAGCAGTGTGATGGTATTTTTCTGTTTCCACTGCATGCATCAGTGTTCTGCCAAAAATCTTCATGTTTGTTGCTTTACTGCAGGGGCCTAGGGAAACATCTTTATTTACTGCTTTCACATATGCAGGCATGTGATGATAATGTCTGTCCTAATTCTGAAGAAATAAATACAAAAGCAGTACAATAGATACATGACTGCTGCAGATGGCAGATGACTTAGCTGAAGATACTCCAGAGCCATAAAAACATGTGTTTTCACAGTAAACCCTTTCTGCTAGAAACCAGCCATGTTGGCATGAGAGGAAGAATGAAATGCAATTCTGTTTCTAGGGAGTTCTGTTTCTACAGAGATGCTGCTAGGCATGTGGCATCTCACCTGGTCTGTCGTGTCTCCTGTGGTGATTTCTGTCTAATTAAAAATTTCCGTCACAAGAAGTTTCCATCACCCATGAGCCTGTGTAAGTAGCTGTCTGTGGATAAGCAATGGGGTTTTGAACATCATCAAAACAGCTGAAATAAATGTATTAGAAGTATGTAACACAGTATCTACTTTCCATGAGGTAAAATGTGAGCCTCTATTTTTATAGAGGTTCGCTGTGAGCCTCTATTTTTCCTATCACTTAGCAAAAAGAGGCGATGTCCTCCAATTAAAACCAAAAATTCAGAATGTTTAATTACTATTTTTTTGAGCCATGTACCTTCCCTTTGTGTTTTTCAGCCTGTTCTTGGGCTGTTTGGTCCATCAGATCTTGTTCATAAGCCAGCAGCTAAGAATTACTTGCGTCTTTCTTTCTGATGAGCACTTCCATAAGTGCTGCTTTTTTTAAGAGGATGACCACCTTGTCACCCATTTGAGAAAAATGTAATTGTAGGGAGTGTAAGACTTCATTAAAAATCTGTGAGTTAGTCACAACTGAGGAACACATCCCTGGAATTTAGGCTGAATCCTTTTAGTGGTGGTTTATTTCTCTCAACTAATTAAACTCCTCTGAACCTTTTCTGTATATCAGGAACATGCCTGCTGAATTTAATTTTCGAACTCTAAACTCAAAAGTTGAACACAAGTCAGAAAAACGTGAGAACAGCAGAGCCATGGAGGCTACAAATTTTCCAATTTTGGCAAAGATCATTGAGTGACTACCCTACACTGACTCACTTTTGCCTTATTTTTTCCATTTTGGGGAGGCATGTCAGGGTGAGAAATGCCTTTCTATACATATATGATTAAAGTGTTCATTCAGTATCTAGTATTTATAGGTTTGGTGCCCTATATTTATTGTTTTGATTAAATATTTTTATTTTGCTGCAAGAATTTTCACTTCTGTGCATAAGACAGTAGCTTTCTGATAATTTTTCTTGTGGTGGTTATTCTGATTTGGATTTCTTTTTAATAAACACGCTTTCTCAAAACTTGGGTGGACAAGAACCTATGGTCTGGGTAAAAGGAAGGTTTTTTTAAAACAGAAGAAGGAAGAAAAAAGAACATAATGGAAGATTTTAAACATACATGACTGTGACTTGGTTCTTCTAATATATGCTTTATTTGTGGATTTAAAAAATATATTTATTCTGATATGCAAATTGCAGTTCATGCCAATGGTCTTAGTGTTACCATGTATTTGTGTAGTGTCTATTCTGATGGGACTTTGTGTTTGAAATCTTGGTGCTTTGGAAGTCTCAAATGTAACTCTTTAGCGTAAATAAAATTAAATTGGGAAAAACATTTTTAAAAGAAGAGCTGAGACTAAAAAAGCGCTCACCAAAGTCAGGTGGAGAAACACGGAGTAAAAGCTCTTGCTCCAGGTTTTTCCAGGCTAACATCAGCAGAGTGCTTTAACTAACACTTCAAATCCAAAAAATAGGCAAAACCAGTAGGTTTTTTACATGTTTCTATCCCAGGTAAATGTTAGGAGGGTGGGCACTGCCTCCACTGTTGGAAGAGGAGACTGGTACGTTTTTATATGGTTTGTGTGAGGAGCTGAGGGTTTTTTCTTTCTTTTCCCTTAACAGCTTTCTCACACCAGCTTTTTTATGATCATAGAGTTATTTGAATTGGAAAGGATCCCTGCATGTCATCTGATCTAAGTTCTGCTCAGATAAAGTGACTGAGGCATGCCATGTTTGTAACTCTTGGCTTAACCAGGGCAGGAAGCTCTGAAGATGGAGTGATGTACCTCTCATGGGTGTCCAGTACCAGCTCGTGCAGCAGGTTTTGCTAGAGTCCTGGTGGGATGGGATATGACTGCTGGACAGAAACCTTCCTCCAGCCTGCCCTCCTCATCCTCTGCTGAACAAGC